CTGCATTCGCTCATTGGCCGGGAGTCGCTCACTGAACAGCCAATCGCGCATGACCTCATTTGTGACGTCACTACTAGCCTCGTCGGCGCCAGTTTGGATGTTTAGGAGCAACTGTATACAAAATGTGTATAATTGTGAAATAATTGTATATGGGGGGGGGGGGGGGGGGGGGGGGGCTGTATACATTACACATTCAAACATCAAATCAATAAAATGAAAGGAAAAGAAAATAGATTTTTATACGTGTATTGAAATATTAGTCTCGTGTGGTAGGTTTTAAAGTCAATTAAAACATTTTTGAATCTTTAATATTAGTGCATGGGCGTCTCTACACGATCAGAGTTTTTTTTCAATGGCATCTCGTGGGAGGGGGGCAGTGTTTCTTCCAGAAACCCACCCGAAGAGATGCCTGGAAGAAACTCTGGAGGGGGGGGGATTACTCCCCTCCCCCCCCCCCCCCTTGTAGAGAAAGTATATACGTTAACCAATCCCTCCTTCCACCGGAAATTTCAAGTGCCCCCTCCCCCAGAGAAAAATGTCTAAAAGAAACCCAGTCTATGATTGTGTGTGTGTGTGGGGGGGGGGGGTCACTTTGTTATTAGTTCGCGACCTGCAGTCTACAATTGAGCAATCAATCACGGTGTTTCAACGTAGGTGAAACATTTAAATGTTTAATGTTTCATACACTTCAGACTCCTTATCAGTACATGTGTAGCCAGTGTTTCTTACATATATAGGCCTATATATTCGGGGGCACCGCCACCCCCCCCCCCCTCATCTCCCCTTCCGAAATATAATTTAAATAGAAAATATATAATTTTGCCAGTGTCCGCCCCCTCCCGGAAAATTTAGTCCATTCCCACCCAAAGTGTAAAGTGCCCCCTCCTCCCACGGGTGGTATATTGTGGGACGGTGCGGCCTAGACGTAGAGCGCTAGACTTCTAACTTGAAAGTCTCGAGTTCGATTTCAAGTTCACGTCAATGGAACGTCTCTGAGTCCACTCAGCTCTAATGGGTACCTAACTCGCGTTAGGAAAAGTAAAGACGGCTGGGCATTGTAGTGTTGACCACACTACCTCTTCATATACCGAGTTCACATAAACTAGTGAATCTCTACTTCACTTGCCCTATCGACCGTCAGTTTCAAAAAGGATAAAAAAAAAGAAACATTGTGACGCCCCTTGCCTCTGTTGTGTGCGTGAGAAAAAGCAAAGCATTCGCTCTACATTTAATTACATCATGTGTAGACCAACAGCAACTGATCTCACGTTGGAGACAATAAAAAACAACCACCGCATTTCAAAAGAACGGAACAAGACATAAGGTAAAAGCCGAAGGGAAATTTCTTTGTATCGCGCCGTGGCAAATCGCACGTTTGCGGTGCAATGGTCGAGTGTAATCATTTCCATAAACACCGGGTTCACGCACAACGTCACGGAGAAAAACGGGTGAAGAATTTGATACGTCACCGGAAACCTTTAATGGTAGGGAAGGCATGTTAACATCTATGAGAACGAAATAGATTTTTTTAGATTCTTTTTTTTTTGTTATTTTTAAAAAGTTGGACTGAAACAAAAAAAAAGAAAAGAAACAATTGAGAATTGGGTGAAAGGGGAGAAGCAGTGTTGCATTGGTGAGAAAATGATTTGAAAGGCGCATTGGGTAAAAAAAAAATATATGTGTTGTTTGAGTTTTGTCTATAGGCTGTGGCGTTACAACCTGTGCCGTAGCCTATAGTGTCACCCCCTTCTTTGATATAATACTTATGTATGAAATTTCATCAACCTAACTGTAACGGTACTCAAGTTATCGTGTTCACAGACATACACACACACACACATACACCCTCACACAGACACGGACAGAATTGCAAAGCCCAGTTTTTCCGACTCGATTACGCATAGAACAGGGGCGGAACTACAGTGCCGCCAGACCCCGCAATGCGGGGGGCCCACGCCATTTAGGGGCCCACAGCCGACCTTAATAAAAAAAATTATAGTTAAAAAAAATTACTTTTCTTGCATTTTTGACTTTATGGTTGTTTTGTAAAAAGATTACTGTAGCTCCGTTTGGATTATCTTTATTCTATAGACATCACCACTGTGAAAGCCGAGTCCTCTTTCTCCTACAATCAAACTTATCAAAGATAAGCAAACGTTCAAACCACTTCCATGAGTTATTTCGCTTATTAAAAATTGTCAAATAGGGGTGCTCATAAGCTCCTTTTAATAGATTTGTACTAAACAAATTAAAAAGCAATTAATTATTATTTTTTTATAAAGCACTTACTAAAGAATGACATTGTTCAAAAAGGAAATGTATTTAAAATTAATAATATATATAAAAAAAAACATAAAAATAAACATAACACGAGACACCATTACTAATACAAAGCTTTCATGTTTTATATTCTTTTGGTGGTTAAGAGCACAAAACAGACGAATGGAGTTACACACATTACATGATGTTGTAATTCGATATAATTAAATAAAATATAGAGTCCTTGCAAACACGTGACCTAAATCACGTGATACCTACGCCCGCCGCCACAGTGGTGTACATCAGACGTAAACACAATCAGCTGTTCGCCAGCGCTGGACGTTTTCACCAGCGCTGGACGTGTTCACCGTATGTAAAGAATCGCGCCCGCGGAAAAGAAAAAATACGTTAAAAAACTTGAACTCTTAGGAATTGAAAATCCTTATACAGTTATTGACAGTTTCGTGGATAATATAAATATGTGGCCGAAATTTCTAAATAAAAATACTGTTAGTAATACCGTTTGCGTTTAGAGTTTAAGTAGACGAAGCTGATCAAATGCAGTAATATATTATAGGTTATCTACTGTAGCAAACGTGAGACCACTTAACTCCTACAAAACCCACACTACAACGGCTAATATAATCCATGGGTAATAACCAATCTGGGTAGCATGTTATACAATTTAAGACCCTTATAATCCAGCAGGGAAGTACTCAGACACATTAATACTGACATTCAACCCTCATGATGGCTGCCCCCACCTGTATCTAGCCCACAATAAAACCTAAGAGGAGTCTGCCCTGCCCTCCCCTGAAAATGTCTCACCTCCGTGATACCCAGCCCCACAGAGATAGTATTTCTTATATAATTTTGACCCTCAGGGCCCAGCAGGGAGAACAAAGGGGAAAGTCCCACTGCTCTCCCCTCAACACTTCTCACCTCGGTGTCATGTTATGTCATTTATAGCACACATGGCTTATCAGGGGAAAGCATTAAGGCATTAAGAATCTTAACTCTGGACAGCTACACACTAGTATACTAGCTACACACTAGGTGCCTACTGTAAACTACTAGACTGTAGGCCCTATGTAGACCTGCAATTGTATCAATTGTAGACTGGGTCCATTGTTATTATTCTAAACCATCTCACTTATAATGTTTCTAGCTTGATTTGTTTCTTTTATAAACAGTGGATTTTAAAAAAAATTAGCCTAATCATTAACCAAATAATAATAATGTGGTTATTTGTTGTTGGCTGGTATGATCTAGATTGTACTACTAGGCTACAAAAACTTAGTAGACCAATTACTAGATATGAATTTGAATTTAATTAAACTCAGTCCAGTATCAGATACATATTGCTGTAAAAAGACAACAAAGTAGGTAGGCCTTAGTAATTTATTAAAGTCTTCTACTACAATAATATCAACTACATACTTGTATAAAGTTTTTACAATTTAATTTAAGTAGCAGATTCTAGATCTAAGTCTAGTCATACAATCTATTTCAATTTCAGAAAATTTCGTTTGCTAAAAAAATGATTAGAGAATAGAGCGAGATTTTAGATCTTAGAGACAATTAAATGCTTTATTAGGCCTATTATGACTACTTTTGATTTATTATGGGTGTATTTTGAATCGAATGTAGATCTAAAGTAATTAAATTTAAGTAAAGAAGTAGATTCTAGATTCTATGTCTACCCAGCGGAGCCAGGTATTAGGCCTACTATTAGATCTTATTATTCTTATTATTACTTTTGACTTTGTCTTTTACTATTAGTATTTGTGAAGGTCGAGCATATTTGTTTTATTAATAGTTATCTTTTATAATTAAAATGAAGTTTATTATTTTACTGTCCTTACCTGAAACAAAGTATCGAGAACTGCATTAGATCAGATTCGGCTACTTTAACTCTAAACGCAAACAGTATTACTAACAGTATTTTTATTTAGAAATTTATAAATAAATAAATATTTATTTATACGAAACTGTCATGAGTCAATAACAGTATAAGGATCTTCAATTCCTAAGAGTTCAAGTTTTTTAACGTATTTTTCCTTTTCCGCGGGTGCGGTTCTTTACATACAGTGAACGCGTCCAGCGCTGGTGAACACGTCCAGCGCTGGCGAACAGCTGATTGTGTTTACGTCTGGTGTACACCACTGTGGCGGCGGGCGTAGGTATCACGAACGGACGTGACGTCATATGAAAGGACTCTATTGTTTCAAAACCCGAACAGGCCAGCAATGAGTATCCTATGTTCGTATTTTGTGTTTGAATATATATATATATATATATTCAATATATATATATATATATATATATATATATATATATATATATATATATATATATATATATATATATATATATATATATATATATATATATGGGGGACCTGAAATTTTTTTGCGGGGTGTCCCTTTTTTTCTAGTTCCGCCACTGGCATAGAGCGCTGAAATTTTGATAAATCTGCATTTATTACTTTTGCCCGATTAAAATAAGTCCTCTATACTCCGTATATGATGAAGTAGTGAGGTGTGAGTGTGAAACGATGAAAACTGTCAAAATTTCATGTGATTTTGTGCACGATTACAATACTTTCTCTATGGATCTACTCTGTATACGAGAAAGTAAAAAACAAAACAACCGCAAGGGTTAACACCTCCCTTCAACATAAAATATAACAGATTCTGGATTAGCCTCCCTTACTGGAAGTCTTTTGTGCTAAGGAAACACAGTTGTTACGTTTCTGCCAACATGGCGGTGTACGATAGTTTGAAGCTGTAAGTGGGCGTTAAACTAAACATTGATAGCAATATTATTACAATCTAAAGTATAAACATACTTTATATTTAGTATTTTTAAAATGTTCTTCATAAGTTTTTAACGACACTGTTAATTCGCACTCTATATCTATTATTGTATGGCCACGTAGAACTAGGCCCATGGTTGCCGAACGGCGAACCAAAACTTCGATCGTTGTCGTACTTGTCACAGATTACTAATCTAGATCTAGATTTCTAGATTTAACTACTAGAATCTAGATCTAGATCTCGGTAATCTATCGTTTTAGCGTAATCAATTCGGCTGCAGTAGTAATGTGCGGGAGAGGTAGCTGATGAATATATTTGTTTAAATAAGTATATTTAAGTCAAATTTTACAAAATATAACAGATACTTGATTAAAATTAACAATCAGTGACCAAAACAATTTAAAATATCCTGAAACTAACTTTAAACTAGGTGTTTGAGATAAATATTAGTAGATAAAAACAGCGGCCATCTTTCCAAATAAAATTTAGAGTAGTTTCCCTTGATACAAATGTCTATTCGTATGTATATTGTGTTGACTTTGTTGTTTAATATACATAGTTGTCTTGTTTAATATAAGTAGGACAGAGGGCCATCTTCTTATCTTTAATTTCAATTGAAATGAAGGCTATGTATGAATGTACATCCAAAATCTCAAAAACTTTTGGGAGGTCCATCATTTATTAAACCCTTTTGTACTGATGAACTTGTCAATTATTAGGTCGTCCATCTTCTTCATAAATGACGTTGGACTCAAAATATGGGACGGTGTAAAATATTAAAAAAAAAAAAAAGATGAAGAATATATTCGTTTTCGTTAGAAATTGTGATTACGCGTTCGGGTATAGTAGAACTGCGATATGATATTAAATCATCATCTTGCTTTTAGTGACGATTGGGGGAAAGGGAATTCATCGTCATCGTATGACGTCATTTATGGACAGGACCGGCGCGAACTAGGCTGTCGCCTAGGGCGCTATCCGTAGGCGGGGGGGGGGGGGGGGGGGGGGGCGCCAAAATGGGTTGGAAAAATAAATTGAAAGTTTGAGGGGGGGGTGCAAATCGTAAGCTTGTCCCCGGGCGCCGGGAAGGGTCGCTACGCCTCTGATAATATGGGGGCATGAAAAAAAATTGCAGAAGGGGGGGGGGGGCTTTTATTAACTAAATAACCTGGCGCCGGCACTGTTTATGGGTGATCCATTTAAGCCTAGTTGTTTATTTTGTCTGTAGACATTAGTCTTAGGCCTACACTTTTTCTGAATTAAGATTCTTGTGTTTATAAAAATAGTTTTAAATTTTAATTAGTTACATCTGAATACCACATGGGTTTTTTTCTTTGCCTTCTGCTTTCATCAGTTTTTTATTTGTTTAATAGTCGATGTTTACCGATCCCCACCATCAATTATTAAAAAAACAAAAAACACCCACTATATAGTGATATCTCCCTATAGAAAAAAAACTAGATCAACCTATAGTTCGTAGGAAAATTAGAATCTATCACTTATTCGTCTGTTAAAAAAAAGAAATACGTCATTTTTCTCAACCCCGCCGTTTCATCCCCCACTTAGCACAACGTCACCAAGTTTGCGGCGCGCGTGACGTCATTTGTCATTAGGCTAATGTTAAAGAAAGAGATACCGCGTAATTAAAAAAGTCAAAGGCACTAATGCGTTGAGACTTTAGCGACGTTTAGATCTAAATGACTTTAGTACGGTATATTATATTGGTGTTTAATTTATTACAGTGGCATGCTGTGCTCCCTCTACTACACAAATTCACGTGCTTTTAATTTCTGCAGCCTGCTGCTCTGAGACGTTCGGCTCTAAAATGCCCGTGACACAGCGGCCTCCGTAAATACATTTAGGCTCCCGGTCCCACCTACAAACTTCGTCTGCCCATTAAGCTCCTCGCAAAACTTGTGATTGATATGTGGACATAAGCGGCGCTAGTGGTGGTGTCAAAAGGGACCCCTCCCCAAGCTCAGCTCTTAAAGATGCTCCGCACTTCATAAAAGACAAACTTGATATTCAGACATCGTCGGACTCGGGCGTTTAGCCGACTGCCGTATTCCTAATGCACCGTCCACTGCTAACACTATTTCTATATTAAACTCAAGCCTATACTGAGCTCTGGCTTCTTACATTAGCTGTTGTCGTATTAAGAGCTGATCTTTTGTTATGCCCCATGTCGCGAAACTTGGTGTTTTGTCCAATTTTACCTGCAAGCCAATAATTGTCTTGGATTCTTGTCGAATATCGTTGCCAGGAGCTAGTTGGTTTGAGCCTTATTGTCAGAAGTTATTTCATTTGGAGTCAATATAGTGCGGCCTATTTTCGTCGGTAGGCATTTAGTGGCAGGCCCTTTTTGGCGGGGATGGTGTGCTGAGGTTGTTTAACACCGCTTAGGACAACAGGCTTGCAATAGTTATGATCATTTGTTATGAGCAAAGGTATGCATGAAAACGAACGCTTTATGTCCCTCATTTTCATTGAGCTTTATAGAAGTCTTCCATAACTGACGTCACTCCTCCCTCCCCCCCCCCCCATCATCCCTTCATTATAGGTCATAAATTGCAGTCCTACGTAAATTGACGTCACATTAGAATAGCATATGTGACATCGTTTATGGACAACCCATATCACTCATTTTGGGTATTTGATATCAACATTTTGACAACAAAGGTTATTCAAAATGTATATTGGAGGTTAGGACTTGATATCTACCATAAATGACATCACGCACTTAAGGGGTGGAGTAACTGGTTTAGAGACCACGGTTCACGTTGGAAGTGGAGGGGGTAAGAAATGTATTTCGCCTAATACAAAAATGCTGAAAAAAAATCTTTTTCGTTAGAATAATGGCTTGACTTTTTAACAGGCAGGGCAAAAGGTAATTTTCGACATTACGACTATTTCGTGACGGCGACAAATGGGGGGGGGGGGGGAGGGGGGGAGTTAAGGTAAAGAGCGGTCAAAAAACGTGACGTCATTTATGATTAAATCAATAATTAAAGGAAACAACATGAAATGAAAATAGCAAACAAACAACAATTATTCAATTTACTCAAACTAATATTTAAATAAACATTAGATATGTAGTGGTAGCTCTATAAAAATAGCCTGGAATTTCTTAATGTATAAAAATTGCATCTTATAATAATAATTCTAGAAGTGATGTTCATTGTCAGTCAATTAAATTGTTTAAAGGGCAGAATTTAAAAAAAAAACACATGCTTTGTCTTTGTATTTAAACACAAGACAATCGTATTTCATAGCAAACATCAATACATTTCCATACAAATAGAAATTAAAGGGAAATGACTCTAAATAATATTTTCTTAAGATGGCCGCTGTTTTTAATAGCAAATTTAGTATCTGGAACATCGTTGTTAAACCTTAATTTCATGACATTTTTATTGATTTAACCCTTAAATGTGGTTTAATATTCAATTATCTTTAGTATTTTAGTAAAAAATGCAAAAATACACTCATTTTTAAGCCATTTTTGTTAGTTACCTTATCCCTACATTACTAGCGACGGCCGAATTGATTACGCTAAAACGATAGATTACCTAGATCTCAAGTTACCTTTTAGTTACTTGTACCTAGATTTAGATCTAGATTATATTACTTTGAAATTTAAAATACTAAGACTAACTAAGATAAGAATAAGAGGTAATCTATCATTTTGGGTACGTAAAATCCACCGCAGCTATTAATGTACGAAAACGTTACCTCATTGTCAAGGCTTTAATATAATAGAGGTATATTGTGATATGTTTGTGTCAAATACACAAAAAAATAGATACATAAATGAAACAAGGAAACATTTTTGTATTTAAAAAACATAAATCCTCCTCAAAATGTGAAATAATTAGTAGGTTCTCTCACTAACTTGAAAGCGTCCTTGGTTGCTAACCAGGACATGGCGTAAGGATCGGACCATGACTTCCGGCGAGTTTTTCGACTTAGTTCCAGAGACCTCCTTGGAATTACTTTTAAAAATGTTTACCACGAGCAAAATGGCAGGTTTTCACGTTATAAAAACATGCTATAGGTGGCAAGTCGAAATATGCCAGAAAAGCATTTTCAAAAATTGCTTTTGAGAATGTAGGCTAAATTTAAAGTCGGTGTCATTCAAAATAATATAACTTTTTAAATATAGATCTCCATATCACAAAATTGATTTCCAAAGTAAAGCATTATTAGTTTTATCATTCTATGAAAAAATAAATCAAATATCTTCAACACTTTTTTTATATGATGTGTCCAAAAAATGACAACCTAATTTTTTTATTTTTTTTGACCACGTGACCGCTATTTGAATGGATACGTTTACCTGGCATGGTTTTTTATTTTGCTCTTTTGTACAATAAAAAATGTTATAAAATTAAAGAAATAAAAGAATTCAAACATCACTTCTGTCTTGTCTTTTTTAAAATTCTTTTCTGATGACATTCTCTTAAATTTTTTTCCTCTATAAATATATCCCGACGATAGACTGGCCAATTCTACTTTTAGGAACTCTCTTGTGAAAAAAAATTAGATCTATTTCACAGTCACTTAAAAAGTTAAACCTTTCAACTTTTAACCAGGTTGTCATGGATGATCCGTCATATCATAGCTGTGAGTGACAAAACATTTTAAAATTCAATAATTTAGCCTAAATTCGCTACAACCCCCAAATTAGTGCCTAGGGGATAAAGTATGGACGTTTTTTATTCAGTTGTCATGTTTAAATTGAGAATTGAGTAGATTTCACATATAGTAAGAAAAACTAATAATTAGGGCCTATTAAAATTTAAGGAGTCACCTATTTTTCACATTACAAGTCGCTGGCCATTTTACGTACCTAAAACGATAGATTACCGAATAAGATAATAGATAATAATATAGTAAAAGGTAGTTAACAATTAATAGAAGTCATCAATTGACATAGATCTAGATCTAGATTCAGCTAGATCTAGAATAGAAGATGAAGTAGAGATATCTGTTCTTGTAGATCTAGAATTAGATTTTTATAAGGCCACATTTAGATGGATCGCTATGCAGTCTGTAAATTTGTCTCTAGGTAGCATACGATCTAAAAATAGATATCAGGACTGCTTGACTTTTTTTCGTCTTCTTGTCAATTCATTGTTCACATAAAGTTTAAGTTTTTTATTCAATACCTAAGGCCGATGCAGGTTAAAAAAAAGAAATGAATAGAATCTAGATCTAGTAGGTCAGATGCTAGTCCTAGATCTAGATAGATCAAACTGTTCTAGTAAATTGTTTTTGATGTATCAATATAGGCCTGCTGAACTCACAGTGACCCCGCCAACCTATGTTTGGATTTTTCACCCAAAATTCAAATAATACACTGAGTCACTTCATTTTTTAAATTTTATAGGTCTAGTTAGGTAGTACTACAGTATGGTAGTTACAGTAGTCCCTCTCCTTAAACTTTTAATGAAAATATTCTGTCACTTATCATATACCATTACAAACCATATCCCTTGCTGGTTAATTTGAGGCCAAAAATAACTCATAATTACCTAATTAGGGGCCACTGCTTAGAATAAGAGACTCTTTTTTTCACCATTAAAAAAGGTCAAAAACTTGTTGGTTTGTGTTCTCTATTCTTAACATGTCATGGCAATTATGACATTGGTAGTCTAATTCAGTCTAAAACAAAAATAAAACCTATAGGCATATGGCATAATAACAAAAATTTTTGTTAGTTTACTTTATCCCACTGTTTTTTGTATTTATATTATTTATTATGAATCAATTTATTTTTAAATCTGTCATTAATATGCATGTTTAATTAGGTACATTCCACACTAAAAGCATATTTCTCTAAAAGGCAAAACATCACATATTTTCCGGGCATAGACTACATAAGCATCCAATTTCTTGCAACCAATAACAAGTTAGGGCAAATATTGCACTTGGATTTATGCCTATCCTGCAACCAGACAACAAACTTTTCAAACTACCATATAACATTATAATTTAATTTTTATGAAAAGGAGGTTTAATCAGTGTTACATATTATACAGCGCTCATCTTAAACCCTGTCAATTTGTAAAACATGACAGCCTAACAATGATAAACCACCCACCTAATCCTTCCTGATAATATGCATAAATAATAATATGTGCAAGCTCCCTTACTTAAAGTGGTTGTCAACAACTTGTCTTAAGTAGGCATATCATGCTAACCAAAGGCCACGCTATATCAGACTGAATTTATGTTAAAAGAATACCGAATATTGACATTTTTTTGGTTGGGTAACAATTTAAAATAATTTTAAAGTAGTTGAAGTATTATCTGACTTAATGCCTTATCAGTAAAGTTCATAAAACCAGACCAGTATAAACCTAGTTATCACCCATATGATAAGTTTATCTGAGTAGTTAAATATTAAAACAAACACAATTATTTATTTATTATAGAAGGAACAAATATTGTCCTTTAAATTGCTATAGAAATTAACATTTAATCTAGTGCTGTGAGAATATCCTAAATTTGTTATGTAAAAAATTTAAGCAATTAAATTAGCAAGTTCACATTAAATGTCTAAAACAAATGCTTTGTTCCACTACACAGTCATATAACCTCAGAGAAGTTTATTATTGAACCTGTAGTGCCAAGCAGTGATAACCCAGAGCTTCTAGTTATAGACAGAGTCACTCAAGATATTTCAATCCAAGGTAAGGAGTTTATAAGTAGAAGTACTCTGGGACTGGAATGTCATTAGGTTTAATAAATGAAGTTATCTTTACTAAAGTATGTTTGCAGTAAGTTCTTTTCAAAACATAAATTTGGGGTGTGTATGTAGAAATGAGGTGATACAGTTTCAAACAAATTCTCTTGTGTATGATATTTTTAAAATTTCTGTTTCAGGTTTTAAAAATGAGATTCCAGCCTCTGCCATCACAATCAATATCTATGGCATTGTGGGCATCATTCGCCTTGTTGCAGGTAGTTATATAAAGCTGTCTTTACAATATTTCATTAGCAGAGCTAAATTATATGTGTTTTTTTCATTTGAATGTCCAAATAAGCAGTTACAGAAGAAAAGACCCTTTATTATTAGCTGACCCGAATGAACCATTATACTATACTGATTATACTCTTCATTTTTCTGGTGCTTTTGAAAGATTAGTATCATTACATTTTTTAAAAATCTGAAGAAAATAATCATGAGGTTTTATTTAATAAAGTTAAAGCAGAGAAACATAGGCCATAGTTGGATTAGGCAAATTAGTCTTAGTAGTTTGTCTATATTGGGGAAAAAGGAAATAACTGATGTGTCAACTGGCTAGAGTGTACAAAATGTTTTATGGCAGACCCAATAGTTTGAACAAATAATTCCATCATTTCATTGATGTTTTGTTTTTGTTATTGCCAGGACCATACCTGATAGTTGTCACACAGAGGGAAAAGGTTGGCTTGCTGAAGAACCATGCCATATGGAAGGTGGCCAAAACAGAAGTCTTCAGTTATAAAAGATCACTCACACATTTGTCAGAAAGACAGGTAGTTTTTAAAATAATTTCTAATAACTTAAAGAATATAATGCTGTATAAAAGATGTACTCAATTATTATTTTAAAAATATTTTGTCTTAAAGACTGTTCGTGCTTTTAATAATATTTAACAATCAAAGCATATTATTTGAGAATTGTAAGCATACATTATTTAAAACTGTGTTAATGTTGAATCTTTTTGTACTTATCTTTTTAAATTCAACATTGTGGACAATTATATTTTCTTAAAATTAATATTTGTTGTGTAGTAATTCATCATGAAATATTATTTTTCTTATGTGGTATTCCAGCACAAGTTTGTTATATTAAATTTACATAAAAAAATTAGCCAAGACAAAACTTTATGTCTGTATGTTTTATTTATACTGGCTAACTATTCCTTTGACTGGTCATAGCTTGTAATAAGGAGTCTTATGTTACATAATAAATGACATATGATGTTCAGTTTCATTGACAATGTTTGTGACCCTTGACCACAGGTTGCCATCAACAAAAACTACCTGGCATTGCTGGACACCATGTTGAACACTGAGAACTTCTACTACTCACCGACCTTTGACCTCACCCACACTCTACAGAGACTGTATAACACAAGCCCTGACTTCAACACCTTGGCCTTGCATGAAAGGGTATGTACTGTGTTTTTTTTTTACCATAAACTTAACACTACTTTTGTATTTTTGATGGCTGGCTGCAGGACTCAGTGTTTTTAAAAACAGTATTTTTGTGAGAGAAGTACCAGTAAGTAAACAGAATAAAAACAGCTACAAAAACATGTTTGATTGTCTAGAATTTTATTATTTTTGTGAAAGATGTACCAATAAGTAAACAGAATAATAAATGCCACAAAAAGCATGTTTTGATCATCTAAAACTTTATTGATTGATTATTTTCATGATTTTATTTCACATAGTATACAATGTTACAACTCTGAAAATGTACAACGGTACAACTCTGTAAATGATTGCCTCATATTTCACCTCTATGAATTCCTTGTTTCATATTTCACTTGAATGAATTTCATTACTAGGCTGACCAGAGATTTGTATGGAACTCTAGTGTGTTAAGGGAGCTGTCACAACAACAAGAGCTGGCCAAGTTTTGCCTGCCTATGATATTGGGCTGTATCCTTTTTCACTACAGTCCTTAAAATTTTGTAAAATTATAACCTTCAGTTGTCCGTTTAGTAGAAACTGACAACACTGTTAGGTTAGATTAAATACTTAAAGCTGCAGAATATTGTGCTAAAATTACTTAAGTTAGAAAAACATTTTGAAATAAATAAGTTCAAAAATTTAAATTGGCTATAAAATTATAATGTTCTTTAGTATTAATATTTGTTCATAAGATGAGCTAGAGGAATAACAATCATGGCTTGTGTTTATTTTCACAAAACTGTGACATGTACTTTTAGCACTAGGTTCTTCAATTAGTTTAATTTTATCAAGGATCATAATGTTTTACAGAGTTGTCACAAAAATCTTAAAATACATTTCCTTAAGCTGTTTGACAGATGCAACAGTCACTAAGACAACAGTCAACGGACATGCCTTAGATTACATTGTGATATCTCGGAGGTGCATCTTCCGCGCAGGGACCCGGTTTAATGTGCGAGGTGTTGACCTTCAGGGTCAGGTTGCCAATTTTGTTGAGACTGAGCAGATCGTGCAGTATGGGGAAAGCCTCTGTTCTTTTGTGCAGGTATGTTGCTGGAATCCCTACACATTATTTACAAATCTTGGCATAGGAAGCTAACTTACTAATCACCAACAAAACTTATTGATCTGATACACTAATTAGAGATTCTTTTCCTCTAAAATATTAATTTAAAAGTAAAAATGAACTCCCACTGATTAATATTGTAATTTGCATTAGAGCTTTTCTTTATCAGAGATGTTTCTCAAATATATAAATAAAAAAAAACCCTCTGATTAACAAATGCTTTTGTACTAGAGACCTAGTTTTACTGGTGTTTTTTTTTTATAAATTGATGAGTATTGCCAACCTTAGTTATCTTTTAAGTCCATTTATCCATCATTTAGTAGATCATACTATTTTCCTTTCTGTAGAAATAGCATAACTGAATATACTAAATTTCTAGATGGTTATTTTACTTCAAATATAACCTCATGCACATTTTAAAGAAAACTTGTGTTTCCTTAGACCAGAGGATCTATTCCAATTTTTTGGAGCCAGAAAGCAAACCTGAAGAGACTTCCGAACCCTGTGGTTATGGATATTGATCATGTAAGTTGGTCTACTGATGTTTTTGGTGTCTGATCTAGACATCTGGTTAGTAATAGTAGCATCTTAAAATCAATAAATTGTCAGTTGAAGTGCTGATATCTATCTTTGTTTACCCCAGTTGTCTGCTTTCAAGAAACATTTTGACCACCAAATCTTTATTTATGGGGATCAAGTGATTGTTAATTTGGTGAGTATTACTGCTTTGTCTTTAAAATGTGTTCTTTTTTGCATAACTTCTAAATAAGTTAACATGTTAAAGTACATCTTCAAAAGTTTATTTAACATTAAAAAAAATATTATTGCTTAAAAGATTTAACTTTGATTGAAACCATAGTTGCATTACTTTTTTGCTGATACGTGGAAAAAATAGCTTAAGGTTTTATTGAAGCTAGGTATTTTTACCCAATCTCTGGTCTTAATTCTGAACCTAAATATAGTCCTATTCAGACGCATTACTGACTTTTATCGTAAAAACAGTAACATCACCCAAAAAAAAATTGGTTTAATAATGAAATATTTAATCGGCTTCTTTCTGAGTATTAAAAAAATAACATGTTTTATTATTAAAACATAGCTGTGATGGTTTCTTCAGTAAATATATTTACTTTATATTGTAGCATGGTTGTTAAAGTTTATAGTAAATTTATTCCTTTTATTGTCCAGATCAACCAAGATGGACCCGAGCAAGTCTTAGAGAAAAAGTTGTCACAGGTTGTCACTAGTGCCCAGAATAGGAATATCAGGTCAGCTGGTTTATTGCAATTACCTGAGATATAGCATTATGTGGCGTATATGACATTTGGTTATCTGATATATAGCATCGTATGGCTATATGACATTTGGTTACCTGATATACCTGATATAACATTTGGTTACCTGGACATGTTATATTGCTTATATCACATTAATCTGTAGTGTTGTTTGGCTAAAATGACATTAGGTTACCTAAAAGTGCTAAAGTGTCTTACAGTTTATATAACATTACTAGACAGTCATGTAGCGAGTCATGTGATGTATTTGAAATTTGACTGCTAGATGTAGTAGTCTTACATGCAACGACCTTTGATTCCAGATATGAACCTTTTGATTTCCACAAAGAGTGTAAGAAAATGAGGTGGGATAGGCTGAGCATTCTAATGGACAGGCTACAGCAAGATAGGGTTAAATTTGGGTAAGAGATTTTATTAATGTGGATTGAGCTAGCTATACAAGTTAAATATAAAAAAACTTGGGAGGGGAGGTTCCAAATCAGTTAGCAACAAAGGAGTAGTTTTACATTTCAATTACAACTATAATACTAGATATATATTCTCACATTAGATACCTTTGGATATGCAGTCAACATTGTATCGATTGTTTCTAGAGTATAATTTTCATGTTGCAAGTTGATAAAGGTTGTTTTCTGTAAAAATGTTGTCAATCCTTTCTTAGTACATGATACTTTAGCTTGCTGCCAATAAAATACTTATCCAAGCCTAACTCTAACCCAAATTTAAGAACCATCATTTCTATTATTCAAATAAAACATTCCAAATTTTGTATTTTATATTAAGCTTTAATTTTTATCAATCAACGATTATTACAAACTTCTGCTCTTTCCTGTACAGCTACTTTTTGCAAATTGGCAAGAAGGTCAGCTTGACCCAGACTGGTGTATTCCGCACCAACTGCATTGATTGCTTAGACAGGACCAATGTTGTTCAAAGTATGATTGCTAAAGAAATGTTAAAAGAGCAGTTTGTGGTAAGATTTAATGTTGTTCAAAGTGTGATTGCTAAAGAGATGTTGAAAGAGCAGTTTGTGGTAAGATTTAATGTTGTTCAGAGTATGATTGCTAAAGAAATGTTGAAAGAGCAGTTTGTGGTAAGATTTAATGCTGTTCAAAGTATGATTGCTAAATATATGTTGAAAGAGCAGTTTGTGGTAAGATTTAATGTTGTTCAGAGTATGATTGCTAAATATATGTTAAAAGAGCAGTTTGTGGTAAGATTCACATACAGACATCCTGTCATTTCAATTAAATGAACATGAAAATTTATTTCATTTTCTAATAAACATGAAAATTATTTATTTTTTAAATGAAAATTGACATTATTTAAATGAACATTTCTTTTTCTAATGAATCTCAAAACTTTTTTCAAAATGTAATTAAAAAAGCTTATTTAAAAATAGCAAAAAAAAATATTTCCTGTTTTGTGAGCTAGGCACTCCTTTAAGGCTCACGTCACATAAGGCAAACTTATAAAACCAAGTTTTTTCTTTGACTAAGGCCTTAGTTTGAAACACTTTTGTGTTTGCCATTACATGACTACTGTTATTTTTGTGTGTCAGTATTTAAAATAAAATCTTGTTTTCTATTAAGTTTCATTGTTAGTTATATATTTTTAACAATAGATGATGTCCTATTATTTTCTGTGATAAAGTGTGTTCCTCTCATATGACATTTTACTCCTGTGCTTGCACTACTTGCAGCAAAACTTTGTTGGTAACAAATTTGTTTACTTTCAGCAACTGGGTATCATAGATGTTGATCATAACCTACAGGATGAAACACAGTTTGATACCGTTTTTAAAAATGGTAAATATGTTTTCCTGCAGTTGATAAAGTTAGGTTGACAAACTTAGGTTGATAAAGTTTGATGAACATATTATAGAGTATTTGTATAGGACTGGAAGTAACCTGACAATAAATTGGTATATGATGGGTTCATCTATTTTTGATGTCCACACAGGAGGGATGGGGAGGAGGGGTTAACAAAAAATTGACAATTGTGGACAGTGTGTGGACTTGGAATTTTCACAAAATCGTAGTCTTTGAACATCAAGAAATATCTAAATTTCAAAATTTGTGTGGACATCATAAATGGATGACCTGTATGTCTTAAATACTCATATATTGCTGAAGCATTTTCCTGGTTATAGGTGACATGCCCCACAGCTCCATAACTAATGTATAACATTTCTCATTTAGTCTGGGCAGACAATGCTGATGTCATCTCTAAAGAATATGCAGGTACAGGTGCTTTAAAAACAGATTTCACAAGGTATATATGATATTTTTTTCTTTAGCTTAAACTTTAGATTTCACAAGTTATATATGAAGTTATTTTTTCTTTAGCTTAAACTTTAGATTTCACAAGTTATATATGAAGGTATTTTTTTTCTTTAGTGTAAACTTCGTCTGTTTCTCCACATTTCACCCTCTAGTTCACGGGTTCCCAACCTGGGGGTCGCGAAGGTCTTTCTGGGGGGTCGCCAACTGGTTTACTAAACCTTAGTAATTTGACATAAAACATAAATATTTAGAAGAATTTTTGAAATTCGGCTTCATTAACATCACTGGAAATGTAATAGAGAAAAAACAAAGCGCACTGTACAAAGTTGTTCTCAGTCACGAATCTATGAAATCTTCAAAACTAAACCGTCATTTGAGATGATTCTTTCGGAACACACCAAAAATATATGGATTTCTTTCGTCGGTAAGAAGCTAGTTGTAAACGTCAGAGACTTGATCGAACAGGAAGTTTTCACCTGCATTAGTGCAAGCATCAAATGAAGTCGCGATAGAAAATGCCAAGCAAAAAAAAAAAAAAAAAAACAATAGAAAATCTCATCAAACGCTGCATGTACGTAAATGTTAAATAACACATTTTTATTGAAATTAAGCTTTCAACATTGTTTGCTTTCCAAGTTGATAAATCAACAGACGTGAGTTCGTGTTGGCAGTTGCTGGTCTGTGTCTATATTCATGCGGATGATAACAAAGAAGAGTTGCTATTTTGTGAAGATAGCATGGAGAAAATAAATAAGTTTTTTTTTTTAAACGGGATGATTAAAATGGGTTAGACCGGCTGTGGGGGTTTGTACGGATGGTGCGCCTTCTATGTTTAGCTCAAAATCGGGCTTTCAGAAAACAGAAAAGATTTAGTTCCTTAACCACTGCCCTAACCAATCGACATCAAGAGTCCATTACTAGTATAAGTCGTAAATTATATAAAATCTGGAGCCTTCAAAGAACTGAGCAAAAACATTATTATAGATCACGAGGTTCTGCTCTTCTACACTACAGTACGCTGGCTGTCAAACGAAATGTTGTAAATTGTGTTTTTGAATTGAAATCTGAAATCAAATTGTTCTTGGAAGTGCAAAGGAAACAAGACTTTTTGGTACACTTAAAACAACATAGAGTGGTTGGAGAGAGTATCATACCTAGCAGATGTGTTCGAACATCAAGATTAGCTTAACCTGAAGCTTCAGGGAAAATGAACAATATTATAACTTTCCATGATAATCTCGGGGCATTTTTATCAAAGCTGCAAAATCGGTAAAGAAAATAAATTTTAGAAATGTAAATTTGAGAAACTCTGCGGTGTGGTAGATGAATCTGATTGTGAGATAATTAAAATTTTGAAAGTAGTGATTTCTGGGCATCTTGAATCTCTTGAAAATGAACTGCATCGCTATTTCTCTGAGCTGAAAAAAGAAGAATCTGCATTTACGCATTACCCATTATCTTCTTCCCTTAATGTTGCCAGCATTCCCGATGAATTACAAGATGAATTCTTTGATTTGCAGAATGATTCTGAGTAAGATGAAAAACTGCAGACACAATTTTGGTGTAGTATTCACCATTCATACCCAAACGTAAAATTGATTGACTTTTCGAGAATATATTTTCAACACTATTCTTCGATTAAAAACAAAATTAAGATAATTATAATGACATAGGTTGGCGTTAACAAATTTTTTTTTAAATTAAAAACTTAACCACGCAGGTTTAGTGAATAGTATGCAATTTTACTCATGCTATTAAAACAGTTATCAAGAGTAGTTCATATTAAAAGTCTACTAGAAAATCTTTTTTTAGTGCTTATTACTTTCCATACTAATTTCGGCTTTTTAATTCTATGGGGGTCGCGGGTCACTTACTTTTTATAAAAGGGGGTCGCCACTCGAAAAAGGTTGGGAACCACTGCTCTAGTTAATACAATCAGGCTGTGCAGTTCTTCACGTCATTTTACTTGTACACTATAGGGCTGGTAAGTAGGTCACCAACCAGTTCCATGGCTCAATAAAACCTGCATGAGCCATATAACTGGTTGGTGACCTTCTTGCCAGCCCTATAGACATTTGTTTATTTTATTTGAGATAGTACTCTCCCCTCAAATGTACAAAAGTAGTATAAAAACTATGTATTCTGTTATAGGACAGGCAAACGAACAATGTATGGTGCCTTACAAGATGGCTACAACTCTGTCATACGATACTTCAAAAACAATTTCCAAGATGGGAGCAGACAGGTAAAAGCAAACAGTTAGAACAAGGTTATTAGCGTACCATTATGTCACGTATTTGCTACAAATGTGACACACCCACTTCGCTACTAATGTGCTTGAATGCCACATGATATCACAGCAATCACCCATCATCTTTTTTTTATTATCATACAAAAAGACCTACTAGGCATTTCTCACTAACTAAATACAGTAGAAAAACAAACAGTAGTATCTAGCAGTTTTTATTATTATTGTATTCTACATAGAGTATCTCACAAATATTGAGTTTTTATTAGTGTCAACAGTTGCTTCAGCATTTTAGTAGTTTTTAATTGAATTTTACAAATCATGTAATGAAATACATTCCGTATTTAGTTAGATATTTAAGCTACTAGAGTAAACATTGAACTCATGAGTCCCAATTTTAAAAATATTAGTATTGTTATGGAGGCATTTCTAGGCACCTCTCACCTCATGCTTCCACCAACATAGCCCTAAGTAATAATAAATTAATACTGTTAGAATAACACCAAAATAAGTATTTTATTTACTTTGTCAACTAAATTTTGTCTACATTTCCTGTCTAATTGAATGTTATTTTTAAAATTGTACATTGTTACCTCTTGTCTAATGCTGCTGCTTCTATTGTACTGCAGAATGCCATGGATCTGTTTCTTGGAAATTATATTGTAACACAATTAAGTATTACATGTCAACTTTTTATGTGCCATTGAGGCCATTGACTCCGATTTCAGCCTGCTTTTCTTTTTGGATTTGCTTCCATAGCCTTTGTCCAACCAAGAAGCAGCAGTTGTTTGATTTTGAAGTTTTCTTTCCTAGAAGAGTTTATGTCCTGAGTTGTGGAGCCTCATGTTCCAGAGTGTTCGACCTCTAGTCTTTTAGGTTTAACAACACACCTTTTACAGACACTTTCCCGTCTAATTGAATGTTTTTTCAAAATTGTACAACGTAACATGTCTAATGCTGCTGATGATTCTATTGTACTGCAGGATGCCATGGATCTGTTTCTTGGAAATTATATTGTAGAGGAAGATGAAGGGCTCACAGCCAACTCCTCACCTCTGGAGAACAACAGAGATTGGAAATATTATGCTGTGAGATATATTCAAGTCTTTTTTTTCCAATTGATTTGTAATGGAATTAACTTATTTCCTGATTATGATAATTTAACACACTATTAATTATATTGATGTGTGCGCTAGGTGTGTACTATATCTTTGCTATTTGCACACCTTCAAAAGCGGAAATGCATTTGTGAATGAAAAAGAAATTAGATAAATATTTCATCTATTTTTTCTTGAGAAGCCCTAGCATCTTATACATTGTTATAATAATTCTCTACCCTTTAGGTACCAGTCATCTTTATTGTGGCCTTTTCCATGTTCATGGTCAGTGTCCTGTTGCCTGATGGTGAGTAACTGACTTAGTTAACTTTGTGCAAACTTTGGGTAAACTGGTGCAGACCAGTCCTAGGTAACGTGGTACAGACCAGTCGTTGTTAACTTGGTGCAGACCAGTCCTTTTTCATGTGGCACAGGTTGTATTTGTAGAGTGTATTGAATACTGTATCATTTTTTTGTGTGCCAACATTAGGTGAAGGTATGTGTTTGCTTTCCTGTATTAATCTGGGTATTTTTTGTTTGGCACAAATATTTCAATATCCTGTTGATATGATTCTACCATAAAACGTCTTACATACATAAAATTTAGAATAAGTTTTTTGGCACAGATGTTTCAAAATCACATAGATGTGATTCTAACAGTTCCCAGAAAAAGGCAAATGTGAAAGTGTGCTATGGAAAACTGTGCAAACAGAAAAACTGGCAAATACAAACTGATCATACTATTACATTTCAATAGTGCCTTATTTTGTGGAAAAGCATTTAATTATGCTACAATTTACATGTGGTTATTATTTGTTAACGTCTATAAATGCTCTATTTAAGAAAATAAAATTGCCATTGCTCACTTTTTTGTGCACACTTTTTCCATTGTGCATTTTTCTCAGATTCTACCATAAAGTTTCACTAATATTTCTTTTGCTTGTAAACATAATAAGGTTTGAAAGAAGCTATTTTGGATTTTATCATGCCAAAAAATTTAAAAAATCGCCATTTGTATAAGTAAATTACGGCTTTGAAAAATATTTTGTTTTGTTATTGTTTTTTAACTTTAACTTTTTTTTTTGGCAAAATTTGCATGAACACTTTTTTGGTATAAATTATTCATCCTTATAAGTGCATATATACAACTTTACATTTGGATTTGGATTTTTTCAAAACTTTTTTAAAACAACTTTGATCACTTGAACTTTTCACTATACATAAATGAGCTTGCTGTATTTAACTAACATATTTAAAAAAGGATTGAACATGTCAAGAATTTACCTTCTTAGTGTCAATAAAATTACCTAATGACATGAATTATATTACATGACAAACAGGTGGAAGAAGACTGAAACGAGTGAGTAATTTTTAAAGAATGGAATTCTTGTGTCTTCATTCCTTTTTTTTTATCAGCCCTGAAAATTAAACCACACACTTACTTTACGACAATGTCCATTCAAAACAAAGGTTTAGTGTGAATGTACGTGCTCATCAAATTTTCAGGGCTAGTTAATATTCCAGAGTTTTATTTGCTGTTAATTGATGTCTATGCAATTTATTGGTTATGAGATTCTACACTAAACTATAAGATGGCATTGTTTAATCAAACAAACACTGCAGCATATTAAATATATTTTTTTAAAACATGTATTTGAACTTACTGTTTTTTGTTTTTTAAAGTTTTTTTTTCTTGCATTTTACATCTTTTCATTGTTTGAATTTTTTAGGCAAGGCTAAACACTTAAGAAGAATATTCAAATAAAGTACCAAACATCAATACTTGTTAGAATAAATTTTTGCTTTTTATAATTTAACTTCAAAAATAGGAAATTATTGTTTTATATTACTGATATTAATTTAGTAGTTGCATAACTTTTTCCTAAGATTTTTATTATTCACTATATAAGTTGTATGAAAATATTTTCCCTGAAAGAGTAACTAGGCTATCCAACTTGTTAATTTTGCTGATGCAATTTTTTATTGTAATATTAATATTATAACCAGCTTGATTTCATGTTTGGCAACTAAGAGACTTAACAGTTAAGGAAGGCTGATTGAACTGTTATTGATTTCCTCTTTAGTATAACAATTATTCTAAAAACAATTTCCCCTGTCTTTTCATTCTGACAAAATAAGACTGTAATAATATGGGGGGATGCTCACAATTTGGATTAGCACTTCTGATAAAAAAGAACAGTTAAATACATTTTTAATTACCTAAAATAGTATATATTTTTTTGTTAACAGAGATGCTAATATTCTTTTGAATAATTTATTCAATGAATGAATAGCTTATTCTTTTATTGTTTTAATCATTTATTATATCTTTATTGTAAGAATAATATTTAAACATCCTAAAGTCAATTGAGTACACATCAATTATGAGTATTAATACATTTTTTATTCACTTAATATGGTTTTTGCTAACTAATGCTGTTTTAGTGCCAGTTTGCATTTGAATTTTTGTTTTAATTTAATATTTAAAAAACATTTCAGCTAGATTAAATGCCTGCCTGTTTATGTATCTAAAAAATTTTTTCTTCTTCACAAAATTATTAACAATTTCTTTCTTTAATCTTTTTTTCCCATTCTTTAATTCAAGTTTTTTTTTTCTTCTTTATTTTTTCACAGAGCATGTAAGTGAACAGATGATGTATGTGTTGTTCTGGGGCGTGGCTTCCATCCTCTCCATGGCAACCATCTTTGTGTTTGGGACAATCTATGTTGACCAGCCCCGCCTGGCGGGAACCAAGTTGAAGTCAGAATAGCTATATGACAACGACATCTTCATTGTCTGACTAATCAAGGCAGTCAGGTTTTTACCACTGGATACGCGCTGGGGAATTTTGTAGTTAGCTTAAGGTTATCATCTACGGACAACATAGTTTAATTCAAGTGTAACCTGTTATCTAGGTTATACGTGTGTTGAATTTAACCTGTTAGAGTTATTCATGTGTAGTGTGTAGCCTGTTCTTATGGTTACACTATGAAGGTATAAGTTTATTGATGTGTAGTGTGTAACATGTTATTATGGTTACACTATGAAGGTATAAGTTTATTGATGTTTAGTTTGTAACCTGTTATTATGGTTACCCTATGAAGGTATAAGTTTATTGATGTTTAGTTTGTAACCTGTTGTTATGGTTACACTATGGTGTATGTTTTTTCATGTGTAGCATGTAACCTGTTATAAAAGTTATTCATGTGTAGTGTTTAACTATTTTTTATGGTTATACATGTGTATTGTGTAACCTATGAAGGTATAAGTTTTTTGATGTGTAGCGTGTAACCTCTTTGTCAGGTTATACATGTGTAGTGTCTTCATCTATTATGGTATTAAGGTTATACATATTGCATGTATGACACATAATACAATCAGTCATGGTGTTAAGGTTATATGTTGTGTATCCTTTGCTAGAGGTATTCAGTAATGGATCTATTAATGATAAGTTACTCATTAAAATAAAACAAGTACATTGTTATACATGTATTATGTGGAGAAATTTGATGAAATTTAGTTTAGTTTTAACTTGCTCAATACTAGAAACAAAATGGTTCATGAAAGGTCAAATTTTAGAGATCTACTGAACTTTGACCTAAGATGTAAAAAGGGTTACAGGACTTGCTATAACTATAACAGATTTTTTTTTTGCCTGCTTTGTACATTTTATTAAAGATTTATAATTCATATTTTTGCTTCTGCGATGTTGTTGAAGTAGGCTACATTTTATTTTAAGATCTTGGTGTTTGTGCTTTTTAACAAATTTTGTACTGCTAGTGCAGTTTTCTTTTTGATTGGAGTTTGGTAAGTTTATTTTTTAAAATATTTTTTTATCCAAAATAAGTCACGTTAAAAAAAATTTAGTTGTTTTTAACAATTTTAATTGAAAAAGATGAACTACATTTTTTCCCAAACATATTAAAGCTTGCCAGTAAAAAAATTTTAGTAATTAATATCTCATTAATCCTTGCTGTAATAACAAGTTTTTAACTATACTAAAGCCATTTCTGTCTTATTATTAAAACTGGCTCTAACACCTTGAGGATAGACATAAAAAATTTCTTTTCAATTATATACCAGTACCCTGTTTGTAAAACTACTGAAAACTACTGGGACCAAAGGTGTTAAATAATTTATAGACCCAGGTCAATGAATATCACAGATCCTCACATAACCACGTATAGATAAGTAGTAACACCATTGTCCATTCACCCCTGTTTGTTTGTGTGAATGGTTTTAGCGTATGATGACAACATATAGAAAAAAACAACTTATCATCTGTTTTTTGTCTAATTATGATAACATTGTGTATTATAATATTACTATTTATTTTTTACTTATCTGGAGCGCAACTATTTTACATTAGTGGAAATACATTTGCGCATACTAACATAAACACAAGAAGTTAAGTATTTACGTTTTATATATTTATTACAGAACATTTATTCCCCACCATTAATTTATTTTCACATCTGCAACAACATTATATTTTTTATTTGTCGGACAATACAGTAGGAATTTATTAAAAAAAAAATTAAAAAAACACTACTTGAAGAAATAACTAGTTTAACCATTTTGATACCAACACCTAGTCTCCAGTCTCAACAGAAAGGATCATTTAAACTCCAGTGTTGTAGGACTTCTTTTCAGTTAGGAAATTATCTTCCTCATGTATGTTTACAGGTTCAAAGGGGTTGACTTTGCTTTTGGTATGGATATTGTTTTAGTATGTATTCATCTTTTTAAGAGAATACCCTAAAGATTAACCGGACTAGTGAATATAAACTAAGTTTTTTAAAATTTTAGGATCCAAAATTTTAGCTTCAACTTTTTTATAGTATTGTGAAATCCTATTTCCATATCGGTAACCTCCATAATACAATTAAGCTTTTTAAAACTACAACAGACTGCTTGGACTGGATTAAAAAAGTTGTATTGGATGTTATTATTTTATTGCTTGGGTACACATGTCAATGTGGTGTTTGTTATGCCAAGGGAAAGTACTCTGAAATAATCCATTGAGTCATCCTTGTGTGTATTTATATCCCTGTGATAAGTGCTTTTTTTGTATCTATTTATAGCAATAGGTTATATATATTTACATTACATGCTAGAAATTTATTGCACTATTATGATGTAAATTGACTTTAAGCAGAATCAATTTTATGATGTGCTGTTGTAGTTAAAATAGTTGTAATGCAGAGAATGTTTTTTGATGAACAGGGTTGTATAAAATACTAAGTAGAGAAATTTTCTTAGCTGTTGTCATTTGCCTTGTAGCTTTCTGATGATAACTGGGTTGTAAAAAAAAAAAGATGATAATTTTATTTGGAGGGTAATAAGTTTTATAAATAGATTGTGCTTTGGTTAATGTGTTATCAATATATGTACAGGGCCATTTATGCCACAGTTGTATTTTATAAACAAATTATTAGTTGCCACTTGTCAATTGTTTTGTTTCAATTAACTCTTTCACTCTTTAATTTATAGTGTACCAAGCAAGCATGTCAAATCCAACTTGGCAATGCTAAGATGGACTGTTGAGTTTAGTTTTAAAAATCTGGCCAGTTTTTAGATAGGATTTAAAATCAATTATAAAGTTTACTTAAAAACTTGGCCTGTGCTGGGTTTTGGTACACATTCCTATTGGTACGCACTTGTATGTTCTACATATTTCTGTGCAAACAAGTGTATGTTGTACAGTGTTTCGGCTACATGTTTGTCAATTAAACCTGTTAATACATCTTTAAAAATACACACTGAAGTTTTACCTCATTTTGCTTGAGTTTGTAATTATTTATGAATGTTTTTTTTTTGTTACATTTTTCCTGTGAACTTTACCTTGTTGAAAATTACGTTTTTGTTTTAATTTTCGAGTGGATCTTGTTTTTGTATTTTGTTGTGAACCATGCGTTAAAAAAAAAATTTGTTGTGAACTATGGTACTGATATATTTTTTGTCGTGAGCCTTGTTTTTTGTTTCTTTTTTGCTCGTTTTTACTTTCTTCTATAAAGAATTCAGGGGGAAGTATAGTATAAGCTTATTGACCCATAGACTTCTTAAATCAGTCAAGCTAAAGTTAGTCGTAGAATACTTTACCTACTACATCCTTACATCTTTAAACTAGTAGTAGTAGACTACTTCTTATATTATTCAACTAGTAAATACTGCCGCCCTCTCCCAGAAGAAACAGAAAAAATAAAAGAAAATTATATATAAATGTATATCCTTAAAGCAGTGTGCACTTGTGCCCCCCACCCCTCTCCACCTGAGAAAATATCTAAAGAAACTCCTCTAGTAAACTAATTTGCTTAAAACCTGTCCCCTTTTGGAGTTGATGCATGTGTGATGTAACAAGTTTAAAACGTAAACATATGTGTAGTTGCCAATGAAAAAAAATCAGGTTCAGAGAGTCTTCAATAGGGCCCACACTAGTCTTGTTTTGGTCTAGTTAATATCAACGCTTCAGCATAACCCTACTGCGCACAGCGGGATAACTTTAGGACAATAAAATGCAGCTAAATTTAGTAACACGTACACAAATTTCCGTCCTTCCTCGTTGATGCTACCTTGACCTTTCTGTTTAACCCTTGATCAATTATCTAAAAATAACTGAATCGCCGATACAAGTTAGCTGGCCAAATCAGCAACACAATAAATCTGCCAACGTTTAATTAAAATATCAATCCATAAAAGACGTCATACATGTGGGCGAGAGAGGGTATGGATTCGGTGACGATATGAGACGATTATTATTAATAAGTGGAGTGTCACCAGCTGTTACTGTATCACCCCGCCCCTCCAATCGACTTCTGTTTGGTGTCACCCTCTCCCTCCCCCATTTTTCTATATAACTAGATTTAACACCGTAGGTTTAATGCTCTTTTCGATAAGGTGTCTACCCATCCCAATAGTGTCATCCATCATGCAGTTTTTCGCCATGGTGTCACCCCTAGAATGGTGTCACTCGGTGTGGTCCGCACCCACCGCCCCTGCCTCGCGACGTCTCTGATAACACGTTATATTATGCATTTTAATAATTCATTATATCTGTACTTTGTCTAACACGTTATATAATCATACACTAGACCAATATGTTGTATATTTCTATGACTAGACAAACACGTTACATATTCGCTAGACTAATACGTTATATATACACTGGACTAACACGTTATATATACAGTAGACTAACACGTTATATATATATATATATATATATATATATATATATATATATATATATATATATATATATACACTAATGAAGCCTCAAACATAACTTACAACACAGTGTATTCATTATTTTCATCTTTTCCCGTTCGTGCCCAAGACATTCTATGGTAGATGCAGTAGAGATTATCTATTTCAATGACCTCGGCTTTCAGGGGGATAGTGTGCGCAATTCCTAACATAGGTACCCATCAGAGCTGGGTGAACTCAGGGGCGTTATACATGCTTGAACCCGTGATCCAAACGCCAAACTTTCAGGTTAGTTAGTAGTCGTGACTTTTACCATTCGACCACGTCTAATTTTACGTTTTGGTGTCACCTCCTGAATGGTGTCACCCGTTGCGCTACGCACCCCAGCCCGGTGACGCCACTGCAAGTAATTATGACGGAGAGGGTTGGCTGGGGGTCAACAAACTGACCTGTAATGTAACCCTTTTCTAGGCTCCCATCCCGAACGTACCCAAAATTTCGTTTACCTTCTAATAATAGCAATCGAGTTGTTTCCCCTTCTTCAGGGGCTATAACCATTAAATAAATGAATGTTGTAAGTTGTGGCGAAAACAGTGCTTGATCAATGATCACTATTCAAAAATGATGTGAGCAAAGCCTGCTATAATTTTCGTTAAAGTGATTGTGTGTCAGTTTTATACCCAACAACATTACTTTCCATAATGTTGTTAACGAAAATCTATTGCCTATTATTAGGATGTCAAGTTTTCTATGACGATTGAGATGCTGAGGTTTTAATTCAGGGAGTTTACTATTCAAACTGTACACCAAAAATATTTTAAAAGATTCTAAATGCACACTGCGATGACGAGATTTTTTATATATACTTGGTACACCGTAATGTATACTATAATATATTCTTGTTCCGGGGATCGCCTTTTCTAAATCTTATGTAGCCTGACGCAATGTGTGAAATCAAACGCAACTCCAATTCAAGATAAGCTATGTTTGTTTATTCAAACACAAATCAATCTTCTACTCTTCTATACTATATATTTTACTTCTAGCTAACTAATCTCCAATCCACCTCTACTATCACCTAACATAGGGGTCGGCAAACTTTTGAAGCGGAAGAGCCAAAAGTTACAATTTTCAATATTTCCCTGGTTTTAAAGAGCCACTAACATTTTTTATTTCAAATATTTTATTTTTTTATTAAGATTATTAGTATTTGTTCAAGGAGCTGGAGAGCCGCATCTTGATATCAAAAGAGCCACATGCAGCTCGCGAGCCGCAGGTTGGCGACCCCTGACCGAACAATCTCTAACTGCAACTGCTTTAAAACACGTCTGAGGGGTCGGGCCATCCATAAGTGACGTCACGCTTTTCCCCCACCGTCACACGTCGTCACAAAAAGCCAGACCCCCCTAAAATAACGTCACACCTAAGCCTACAACACCTCATCCCCGTCAAAATTGCATTTGCATTTTTCTTAAATTAATACTGTATTTTTCCAAAATCTTGTCTGAACTCTTGTCAACATAGAGTATTTTAATCAATTCCTATTACCGTTTATTAAAACAGTTTTCTAAAACGCTAAAAACGGCTAAAATTCGTTTTCTAACATTGCGTTTTTAAAATGCAAAAGTGTTGCGCCACACCGTCTGAACCACCCCCTCTGTCCCTCATCACACCCGTCACAAAATTGCGGATCCCCTCCCCCCTTACGAGTGTGACGTCATTTATGAAAGACCCCCTGACCAATACACAATCTACTGACCAACTGCATATATACATATCTAAGCCTTCGTATACATTTAATTATACACAAACACACGTTGCTTTAAGTATATGAGTTTATATCACGTCATATAATACACCTCATTGATCATCAACAACCCTGTGATGGCTTGAATAAAATATGCAGCAATATGGAGTGCATAAACAATGTCAACTATACCATCATCTATAGCTTTAGCACTCCACTGGTTCACTAAGCAAGCAGCTGGAATGTAAGAGTCATTTCGTAATTATAGTGGTATATTAGTGGTTTTTGGTGGTATTTTTGTGGCATCTGTAAATTAAAGTAAACATTCCTATTTAGAACTAGCAATCTATTGGGCAGAGGAAGGGATAATGTGGTCAGCATTATGTCCAGCCGGTTTTACTTTACCTAACGGGAGTTCCACTGACTTGAATCCGGATTCGAACTCGAGACTTTCGGTTTAGCAGTCAAGCGATCTACCGCTAGGTCACACCATTCCTTGGTGGTATTGCTGTGGTATTTTGGCGGTGATATTGTGGTATTCTATGCCATATACATTGACAAAGTATTGTCATAGTCTATTTCACCTACATATCATTTCTAGGAACCATAACCTATTCCGAAGTTATTGTAAACGAAGATAAAAGAATACTGATAAATCTTACATGTAAATATACAGACACATGCAGTGATAACTGCGGTGATTTTGCTTCCTCTAAACTTGCTGGTAAAGATGTGCAGGCAGATAACTACATAGGCGATGTTGTTGCACAGAAAAACGAATAATTTCAGCCTATCAATGACGCTGTTCGTGGAAGCTAGTCCGAAGAAAATGACGGTTCTCAAAAAAAATGCACAATTGAAAATGCGCACAAAAACATACACAACAGAAAAATGCACATATAGAAAAATTCGTAAAGAGAAAATTGCACACAGAAAAATCGCACACAGAAAATATGAACATAGAAATACGCGAAAAGATAATGCGCACAGAGAAAAACAGGAAATGTGCAAAGAAAAAATTGATGCTCACACAGATCCCTTAGCAACTACACATTTTATAATAAACCGGGAGTGATCTCCCCTAAACTTTCTCGAATATTCTAATATAAAATTACGAGGGATGGCAACTCAGGATATAGACAATATTTGTTATCCATTTTTAATTACTTAAACTTTTTATAATAGAATAGAATCTCGTAAAAAAAAAGAATTGCACACCAAGTGAAAAGTTTCCCTATCAAACCTGACGGTCTATGAGGCAAGTGAAGTAGAGTTCACTTGTTTCTGTGACCTAGGCATATGAAGAGATAGTGTGGTCAGCACTATGCCCAGCCGCCTTTACTTTCCCTAACAGGAGTTAGGTACCCATCAGAGTTGGGTGGACTCAGGTACGGTCTACTGACTTGAACTCGGATTCGAACTCGAGACTAACGGGTTAGCAGTCCAGCTCTCTACCGCTAGACCACTTCGTCCCACACCAAGTGAACGCCTAATAAAATGTGTATAAAAGTGCGGGAAATTATTAGTACTTTATAAATTTACGTGCGTTTTTTGAGAAATCGGAAATAGCGTAAATAATTACTTCCGGTCAACGGCAGTTACTCAAAATTTGACAGAAGGTAGAGAATTAGATCTTTTACTTACGTGTGAAATTTCATGCATCTATCTAAAATAGTACGCAGCTTATAGGCTTTTGAAAAATTCAAAGTAGAAAAAGTACCACTTCCGGTTATCGGAAATCACCCAAAAGTTGATCAGGATCTACGATTTTGATAAAATATAACTTATATATGAAAAATACTTATATATGAAATTTCATCAACCTAGCTGTAACGGTACTCAAGTAATCGTGTTTACACACACACAGACAGACACACAGACACACAGACATACGGACAGAATTGCAAAGTCCAGTTTTTACAACTCGATAACGCATAAAACGCCAAAACGTTTATATATTTGTATTTATAATTTTTGCCTGATTAAATTAAGTCCTCTATACTCCGGATGTGATGAAGGACTGAGGAGTAAAACGGTGAAAACTGTCAAAATTTCATGTTATTTTTGTGCACGATTACAATACTTTCTCTATACTTTCTCTATTCTCGTATATCCGAGAAAGTAAAAATGTCTATGAGTAATCAAAAACTTCCCAAATTTTACAACTACTTTTTCTAAAGCCTATTGTGAAACACTCAAGGGAGATAATTCAAAATATACACGTTTACTATCGTATTTGTTTGTAAAATAAAAAGAAGTAAACGTACATAAAACCGAAATAGTACAGAATAGTAGTTTTAACAATGCAACAAACGAACATTTTACATTATGAAATAACAATGGATTGCTATAAATAAGCAAAAGTCGTCTTAATATCTAGGGGCATCTTGCGATTTATTTTCAAAAGAATTTCGCCGACAACAGTGTGTGTTTAATTTTAGGAGAAAGAGGACTCGGGATGGTGTCTATAGAATAAAGATAATCCAACCGCAGCTACAGTGTACTTTTTACAAAACAACCACCAATTAAAAAATGAAAGAAAATTATTATTTTTTTAATTAAAAAAATTGATTATGCTCGGCTGTGGGCCCCTAAACAGCCTCCCCCCCTCCCCCGAAACAGTGACGTACTTACTTGGTTGATCAAAGTAACCGTAACTGGTATAGAAATTACTCTGAATTATGAAGTAGTACCAGCTGTACCAAAGAATAATATAATTTATGATTAATGGCTACAAATAAAGGTAGACTTAATTAATGAAAGTAAAAATAAGCTTTCGTTTCGGGCCCGGCATTCCGTAGGAAAGATCAAGTGGATCGTGTGGTCAGCACTATGTCCGGACGCCTTTATTTTTCCTAACATGAATCAGGTACCCATTAGAGCTGAGTGCACTCAGTGACTTTCTATAGACAAGAGTCTACGACCTCAAGACATGTTAAAATGTGGTGTGCTCTACCACGCGCCAACGCCATCCCAACAATGATAATAAATCGTAAAATACTATCACTCAAGCGTAGTAGTATCTTTATCTTCAGTAGTTCGAATAAAAGTGAATTAGTGTTGTTTTAAGAAGGTGATTTGAAGTTGTTGTTAATAAGAAAACATTGACATATGTTTATTAGTGTGAGATTGTGAATATAAAATGTGCTTAAGTGTGAGGTTTTAAACATTCATTTTCCCCATAAAGTTATCATACCTGCGGCAACTTACTTTATAATTACAGATGCAACTATAAAGAAGAAACTGAGTCTGGCAATCTTTGTAGGGTTTTTACTACCAGATCCGACAGACTCAGTGATGGTAACTACTTCTTCGTGTGGCGATTTGAAATCAGTTGTGGACGTCATGTTGGCAGCAAGGACATGTGACGTCAGTTTTAGGTCTGGGTGTTGCTCCTGGTTTTTAAGCAGACTACTTTAGTTTAAAAAAAAAAACTCTACTCTCAAACAGGGGTGGACTGGCTGTGGCAAAAAAATCTGGGGAAATTTAAAAAGGTTCTCAAACCACAGATTTTAATTTTCATTGCGTATTTTTTCTCCATCAAAGCCTGAATTTGACGCTTTGGTATGAAGAAACAGAAATGGTAAAATGGAGAAATACTAACACAATAAAAAAAAAAAACAGGACGACAACACCTTTTATTTGGACCCATCGATTTGTTGGGGACAAGCCAGAATTTTTCCCTAGGGGTCCACCGGGAAAAATTCCGGTAGACCGACGGGCCAGTCCACCCCTGGTCTCGTGTGTAACCTACTGGATCGTCGTAATCAAAGCCGAGCATTACGTGTCTCAAATCACTTGGCTACTTATACTTGTATAAAGATCAGTTTACTATTTACTAATAGACCACACATAGCTGTCAACGAATTAATGTAAAAAACTAGAAGACTACACATATTAGTAAACTAGTAGAATACTTAAATCAGTCATTTAGTAAACTACTTACATCCCCCTGGAACTGCATCGCTGTCAACTGGAAAACTAATTAAGTCTCTTTCCGTAAACTCGAAGACAAATACTTACTCTAGTCGCTTCTTGATTACATGAGTATGTCAGCAAACAGGTCAGGTAAATTTGATTGGTGAATGTTAACTATCAGGCTAACACACATATTTCTGCAGTTTTAACAGGAGAATCTTGTTCACCAAACATCGTTTTGATATGTAACCTACACAAATACCATACTACACAAATCCCACACTACATAAACCCCACACTACACGAATCACACACTACACTTACACAACTCCCACACTACACAAACCCCACACTGAACAACTCCTAACACTCCACACACGTCGCACACTGCACATATTGGTAAAACTGGATAACTGGGACGATAACAATATGGCTAAAAATAGTAACACGTAAACAAACGCAACTCCTTCCGAGTCTAAGCCACCTTGACTTTTCTGTTGACGCTTTGATCGATAATCTATTTTTGTTTGCTTCTTCAACTGTATAGATGGCGCGACACTAAGCCATTTTCTAACCCGCCACTTTACGCCACCCACCCCCCACACACAAACATTAATTTTTAAAAAGTCCTCTTGCAGATTTTGCTAAGACAACTTTTTGAATAAAAAATTAATTGCACTTATTGACTTCTAAATTAAATTTTAATTACATTATGATTCGTTTTTTTTGTTTCTAAAAGGTATCCTAAAAAAAAAAAACTTAACATTAAAAAAAAACCAATGGATTATTTAACAAGGAATATTTTTCTAAGTCTATTCGCGCAGAAACCATCTAAAGTGACTTAGACATTTTTGCAAAAAGACTCATCAAATACTAGTTAAGTTGTTTTCATATTCATGCGCACCAATTTCCCTAGTCGAACATGCATCATAACACTCTTTATTATTGTTTATTATGTTAAAAGAACCCAACAAAATGACTTCTTTGGAAATTCCTGTCTTATATTTGTCATTGAGATGTAAATAATTTAAAGCGGATATAATGTGCATCTGGTTTAGAATTTAAGATATGGAGACTTGTCAGTGTCAGTACAAGCCCTTCTTCCATCCGCAAATGTTTTAGGCATCCGGTAGATATATATATATATATATATATATATATATATATATATATATATATATATATATATATATAAGTAAATATATATACATTGTGTATATATATATATGTATATATATATATATACACAATGTATATATATATATATATATATATATATATATATATATATATATACAGATAAGTAAATATATATACATTGTGTATATATATATATGTATATATATATATATACACAATGTATATATATATATATATATATATATATATATATATATATATATATATATATATATATATATATGTGTGTGTGTCCATTTTTATTTATTTATTTATTTATATACAGTGACATGCCATAATATCCCAGACAAAATATGTCAAGGACAAATATTCTCAGGATAAAACGTTCACAGAATTAAATATTTCAGGTCATAAAATATCGAGGGTAAAATAATCAGAAAAAAATCTAAAACAAAACACACAACAGTCGTTTTTATTTTGTAAAATTAAGAACAGCTATCAAATAACAGAAGGTGAATAAAAAATCTCACAACGCTGCATGGCACTACGAAATACACACCGATCCGAAACGAAACACAACACTAACTAAATACCACCAGGCTAAAGAAACCACATTTCACAAAACAAGGTGTAGCCTACCTAGTAATGTGGAGTTTTGTAGAGTGCAACATTTAGAAGGGGCTACAATAGAATATTAGTAAAATATAGCAGAGGCGTAGCAAGGGGGGGGGGGGTGCGGACCGCACCGGGTGACACCATTTAAAGGGGGTGACACCAAGGCAAAAAATAGCAAAATATATAGAAAAAATGATACTTCCACTTAATTAAGTGATTAATTCGAGTGTTAAATAGTCTTTTAAGAGGTCGTCGAAAGTTTGAGAGGGGGGGGGGGGGGTGCGAATTGCAAAAATTGAGGGGGGGGGGGGGAGGATGCAAATCGAAAATTGAAAGTTTGTCCCCGTAAAGGGTCGCTACGCCTCTGGAGGGTGACTCCATTAAGTGCCGCACCGGGTGACACCCGACCTCGCTACGCCACTGAAATATAGTATACTAGAGTAGAATATAAATGGAAGAGCAGAGTAGCATTGTGTAGCCCTTGTGGCACTCTGACCTTTGAATCAAATAAAACAGTGATCGGTTATGCAGGTCACCCAACCAACTGACATCAAAGTACACAGATAAACGCTGAGAAGCTCTAGGCAGCAAACAGCATCGGCAAAGTTTCACCAAATTAGAACACATTATGTTGGATACACTAGATACAATACAAAATTATTATACATTTCTATATACATATCTTTGTAAACATGAAAGAAAAAAATAATACGATAAATTATTAAAATATAGATAAAAAGGAACACAATTTGATAATATTTTTTAGGCGATTTTCATACATCTTTCTCTGCTTGATATATATATATATATATATATATATATATATATATATATATATATATATATATATATATATATATATATATATATATATATATATATATATTTATATATTTATATATATATATAGATGTTGTTTGAGGAATATGAAGTCAGTTTTCACGTGATATATGTTATCTCAGCAACCATCATCAACCCTACGATGAACTGAAGATAATGTGCAGCGGCCTCAAGTCCGTAAGCAACGTCCGACATCTCTTCTCTCTGTGTTTGCTCTGGTTCTGTACTCAGAAAGTTGACCGCTACTACCCAGTATGTGGCTAAAATACAAAGTATAGTAACATTTTAGATGTATTTTAGTAGTTTTTTTAGAGGTATTTTAGTGGTATTTTAGCGGTATTTTAGTAGTATTTCTGTTGCACAAGTTATTTTAGTGTTATTTTGAGTGCTAATTAAATGGTATTTTATGGGTGTTTTGTTGTATTTATATGGTATTTTAGTGGTATTTTAGTGGTGGTTTAGTATTATTTAAGTTGTATTTTAGTGGTAGTTTTGTTGTATTTAAATGCTATTTTTGTTATATTTAAGTGGTATTTCAGTGTTATTTTATTGGTATTTTAGTTGTATTTTTGTGGTATTTTAGTTGTATTTAATCTCGTATACAACAAATGTTAACACAGATGTCTTATTGTAAAATTCTAGTATGAAGATGTAAAAAATAACAGTTTGTAAAGAAAATTCACAAAAATTACTCGTATATATCTATCGTCTAATAAGTAAATCTTACATGTAATTATACAGACACATGCAGCGATCGCAGCTGTGAGTTTGCTCCCTTGAAGCCAGCGGTTGAAGATGTGGAGCGAGATCGCTACAAAAGCGATGTTGTTGCCCAGTATAGGGATTAAGGCTAGACACAACAGATAAAAAAATTAACATGTTTCAGGGTATTTAATTAATCCATATGTTAATAGAGTGAAAACTATAAACAAAGTTTGTTATGCGTCACCGCTTTCAGTTATGGTTGCTATGGAAACCACAAAAAGGAGCGAAAATTCAAACTTTAAAAAACTTTTACGTTTGCTCTCATAATAGATATTTGAAGTCTGTTTATATATTTAGGTTTGTTATTTCAATACAATTCTATTTTTGCTTATTTTGATAGCTAGGATGGCTTTTTCTAATACAATTATTTTTACGTAAAACTATGTACACAAATTAAAGGGGGTGGTGCTACATAAACGTTAATATTTCTTAAAGTACTTAAGTAAACAGAATGTGCAAGCGTAGTATTGTTGACAGTATAATGCTCAATGCATGTAGAAAGTTTCATTATTATATGACAATGGGTTCAAAAGCCTTAGTGGTTGGAATTTAGAACTTTGCGTTAAAAATTTGAAGTTGAGAAAACGTAAAAAGAATGGCGGAAAATGGCACTGTTCGGTTCCTCTTATAGTAAACAGACGTCTTGTTCTATGTGGAAGAGATATTTGAATAATAAAATACGTGTTCATTTCTGTTCTAGGTTTTAGATAGATTTTTCTATACAAGCATAAAGTATGTATACAACAGGTAATGAATAAATTACTATTAAGTATTAAGTATCCTATTAATCGAGTGTTATTCTCAGAACAAATATTAACAAATCAAATCAAGTTCTGTTTGTTAGCAACTTGTCTCATATCAACACAATGTCTATCACTACTTCAGCTGTAAGTTACACAAGTTTATTGCCTTTACTTTCCCTACGTCAGTCAGGTACCCATCAGAGTTGGGTGGACCAAGGGACGTGCTGCGACTCTAACCAGGGACTCGAACTCGAGACTTTCAGGTAAGAAGGCGAACTCTCTACCGTTCGACCACGCTTACCTACTCACATTAAAGATGGTATATTTTTAGCCCACCCAGAGCAATGACCTTTACATTGTCAGTTTATGGCTTCTACAAGTCTAGTGTACTGTTGCTTCTACAAGTCTAGTGTGATGTTGCTTCTACAAGTCTAGTGTACTGTGGCTTCTACAAGTCTAGTGTACTGTGGCTTCTACAAGTCTAGTGTACTGTTGCTTCTACAAGTCTAGTGTACTGTTGCTTCTACAAGTCTGGTGTACTGTTGGTTCTACAAGTCTGGTGTACTGTTGGTTCTACAAGTCTAGTGTACTGTGGCTTCTACAAGTCTGGTGTACTGTTGGTTCTACAAGTCTGGTGTACTGTTGGTTCTACAAGTCTAGTGTACTGTTGCTTCTACAAGTCTGGTGTACTGTTGGTTCTACAAGTCTGGTGTACTGTTGCTTCTACAAGTCTAGTGTACTGTTGGTTCTACAAGTCTAGTGTACTGTTGGTTCTACAAGTCTAGTGTGATGTTGCTTCTACAAGTCTAGTGTACTGTGGCTTCTACAAGTCTAGTGTACTGTTGGTTCTACAAGTCTAATGTACTGTTGCTTCTACAAGTCTAGTGTACTGTTGCTTCTACAAGTCTGGTGTACTGTTGGTTCTACAAGTCTAGTGTACTGTTGGTTCTACAAGTCTGGTGTACTGTTGCTTCTACAAGTCTGGTGTACTGTGGCTTCTACAAGTCTGGTGTACTGTTGCTTCTACAAGTCTAGTGTACTGTTGGTTCTACAAGTCTGGTGTACTGTTGCTTCTACAAGTCTGGTGTACTGTGGCTTCTACAAGTCTAGTGTACTGTTGCTTCTACAAGTCTAGTGTACTGTTGCTTCTATAAGTCTAGTGTACTGTTGCTTCTACAAGTCTAGTGTACTGTTGTTTCTACAAGTCTAGTATAAGTTGCTTCTACAAGTCTAGTGTACTGTTGCTTCTACAAGTCTAGTGTACTGTTGCTTCTACAAGTCTAGTGTACTGTGGCTTCTACAAGTCTAGTGTACTGTGGCTTCTACAAGTCTAGTGTACTGTGGCTTCTACAAGTCTAGTGTACTGTTGCTTCTACAAGTCTGGTGTACTGTTGGTTCTACAAGTCTAGTGTACTGTTGCTTCTACAAGTCTAGTGTGATGTTGCTTCTACAAGTCTAGTGTACTGTGGCTTCTACAAGTCTAGTGTACTGTGGCTTCTACAAGTCTAGTGTACTGTTGCTTCTACAAGTCTAGTGTGATGTTGCTTCTACAAGTCTAGTGTACTGTGGCTTCTACAAGTCTAGTGTACTGTTGCTTCTACAAGTCTAGTGTGATGTTGCTTCTACAAGTCTAGTGTACTGTTGCTTCTACAAGTCTAGTGTACTGTTGCTTCTACAAGTCTAGTGTGATGTTGCTTCTACAAGTCTAGTGTGATGTTGCTTCTACAAGTCTAGTGTACTGTTGCTTCTACAAGTCTAGTGTACTGTTGCTTCTACAAGTCTAGTGTGATGTTGCTTCTACAAGTCTAGTGTACTGTTGCTTCTACAAGTCTAGTGTACTGATCTCCAATAAAATGGTGTTCTGACCTTGTTTGGAGTGGACGACTTCAGGGCCATAGGATAAGTACTTGATTGTAAAAAAGTACCAGCTGCAACAAAATAATATGTAATTCATGATCATTGGTACAAATAGAGGTAAACTGTGATTCTTCCAGAATTTTTCTCCGGGGGGGGGGGGGGCTTTTGAAATTTTCTTTGGGGGGGGGGGGGCGGTCAACATTTTTCGGGGGGGGGGCGGACACTAGTAAAAGTGTATGTTTACTATATAAAATCCATCTCGTTCGAGGGGGGGGGGCGGTAGACCTTCTTCAGGGGGGGGGAGGCTTAGTCGTTTCCCCCCCCCCCCCCCCCCGAAGAGATGCCTGGAAGAAACTCTGGAGGTAAACATAATTGATGAAAGTTAAAAAAAAAGTGAAGTTCCCAGTTCACACCTGGCGATCAGTAAAGCAGGTGAAGCAGAAATTATCTGTTTTTTTTTTACAGTTTTACATAAAGGAATGGTGTGGTCAGCTCTATGCCCAGGCGCCTTTACTTTTCCTGTCGTGAGTCAGGTACCCATTAGAGCTGGGTGGACTCAGGGGCGACCTACAGGCTGAGACACGAACTAAAGACTTTGGTTTTAAATGTCGTGCGCTCTACCAACTGACCAGACCGTCCACTTAATTATCGATTATACTATCGCTTAAACTTTGTATTGCTTTTAAATGTATGTTATTGAGTTAATGACGTACTTTTAAGAAGGTGATTAGCAGGATTTTATTAGAAAATAATTGACATATGAATGCGTGTGTGTGGTGTGTGTGCGTGTGATGTTTTAAGCAATTATTTCTCTCCTATTAGTAATCAAAACTACGGTTACTCACTAAATGATTCCAGATACAATTATGAAAAATAAGTTGAGTTTGGCAACCGTAGATGGATATTTTTTCTCAGCGTCGACCGGTTCATTGATGATAACCACATCTTTTTCTGGTGATTTTATATCAGTTGTGGGCGTCATATTTCTAATAAAGAAATAAGATTCCAGTTTTAGGTTTTAAAAGTCGTATTTAGATGTGTAACATTAAATAATACATTAGACAAATACGTATATTCTCATCTGTCAACTACTAGATTATCTCTATCAAATATTAGATTACGCCTGTAAAATATTAGGTTATTTATATGACAGCGGTCTGGTTTACTGAATTAATCATGTAGTAGATAATTCACGAGATTGAAATAGTATGTTACTTTTATAAGTCAATTATTAGAGTATAAAAATCAGGCTTCTTTATACTTTACCCTATATAAAAAGTAAACAATATTGAAATTGTTGCCGGCTTATATCAGTCAACTAGTTGAATACGTATTCAACGCCGATAGTAGAACACTTTACTTTACTCACTATCCGTTAACAAATATAGGGCCTCCTTATATTAGTCACTTCAAGACTACTAAAAGTTTAAGGCACAAATGTTAATACAGTTTTAACAGAAAAATCTGGTTCGAACAAATTCTCCGATTTACTACAATGCATCTTGATGTAAACAAATCAATTATCTAACACAGCACAAAACACACGCTGAAAAAATCCCACACAGCGCTAATCCCAGTATATAGGCCTACACACCCCCACTGCACATTTCCCACACTACACAAATCCCACACTACACAAGTACCACACAGCAGTAATCCCACACAACACTAATCCAACACAGCGATAATACCATTCTATACGCATCCCACACAGCACAAATTCCACACAGCACAAATCCTATTCTGCACAATTCGCTTACTACACGAATCGCAGTTACGTCTTGTAAACCCAAATAACTGGGACAATAACAACACAGTTAAAAATAGTAACACGTAAACAAATTACAGTCCTTCCTGGTCTGTATCAGTTATCTTGCCTTTTATTGGCACTTGGATCGATTTTTTATTGTTTTTTTTTGTGCTTCTTAAACGTGTATTGATTGGATGACGTCACACCTTAGCCATTAATTCTAATTTTCCACCTTCACGCCCACACCCCCCCCTCTCCTCTCCCCCTGCCCCTCCCTCGTTTACGAATATAAATTAAAAATAAGTCCTCTTGCAAATTCTGCTAAGACAACTCTTCGAAAACAGAATTGATTATACATAATACATTTTAAATTAAATTTTAATTACAGTATTTGTATTCTTAAAGTTATATTTAATAACTACATTTTTACAGTAAAAACAATTGATTTCTTAAATGGAGTATTTTTTGTATGTCTATTCGCAAAAAATAATAATAATCTACAGTGACTTAAGAAGTTTTGCGAATTGACTCCTTAAATATAAATTTAAGTAGTTTCTCTTTTCAATAAAGAAACAAAAAAAAAGATAACTTACTGTGTCGTTTTCGGGGGCGACCATCCAACCATACTTTTAAAAATTTAATTTTTGAATGATGTTTGAAACACTTGCTTTGCAGAAAAATACTGTAGCGGTGGTTTTATTATCTTGAGGACACACCCTTCGGCAAACATTAAAAACCCAAGCCAACAGCTGTATTGTAAACGATAGGCACAACTTCAAATTTTATTGAAGTTCCGTGACTTGTTGATTCAAATTAAGGGGGCACGTAAAACCTGCAAACATCGACACGACATTCGACTGTATAGTGTGCTGTGAAGGGGAATGTGCAAGGGAGGAGGGTGGAGGGGGGAGGGCCAGTGTTTCTTCCAGACTTTTTTTTCCAGGAGGGGCACTTGAAATTTTCGGGGGGGGGGGGGGGGGGGGGGGGCGGACAATAATTTCCGGAGGGGCGGACACTGTCAAAAGTATATATTTTCTATATAAATTCCATTTCCTTCGGGGGGGGGGGGGGCGAAGAGATGCCTGGAAGAAACTTTGGGGAGGGAGATAGTGAGCCAAAAAATTGTCGCCAAAATTATTTATAAAAAGTTATTTATAATTGTGTTTTCTTTCTTTTTCTTTTATTTTAAAATCTTGTCAAGGCCGATTATTTTCTCCAATCATTACAGAGGCGTAGCGACCCCTCACGATGCCTGGGGACAAACTTTCAATTTGGCGCCCCCCCCCCCCATATATTTTTTATATTTATAATTTAAAAAAGCAGGTAAAATGAGCTTATTATGGCGCCCCGAGGGTCGGCGCCCGGGGACATATGTACGCCCCGCCCCCCTCCCCTCCCATCACTACGCATCTGAATCATTAAAGATGTATAATTGCGGCGAAATTCTTTGATAAAAAATTAATTAAAATCCATAGCTCGAGAGACTGCTTGATATGTCGACGATTATTCTTAAATTTACACTATTGATAATAATGTTTATCATCGCTTTGTTGTCTCTTTCAAGTCCCCCCCCCACCCTCCCCCCCCCAGCAAATTTAGATGAATCGTTTGTGAACTACCTAACCGTACATTCACCACTTCAGCACATTTTCTCTCGCTCTAGTCAGCCGATATTAATTCCTTGCATAATATCTGATGAATTTAATTCACAAAACAAGGAAGGCAAGACTATTTTGTATATTGTTTATAAAATGTTATTCATTAGTAAATGGGTTTATTGAACAGTACTTATTGTCAATCACTATTAATAATTGACATCATTTAGGGGAGAAGACTTGTCCATAAATGTCACATTTCTTTGGGCAGGATGACAGTATTGGTCAATAAAAGCTTGTAAAAATGAATTTACTTCTCGTTAGTAAAAAAAAAAATAATTTTAAAAAATACCTGTTACACGTTTCAAAAAGTGTTTTAGAAAAAAAAACCTGTAAAAAAGTAAAGTTGTGAAAGGGGTAGTAGGCAGAGGTTTATATCATTTTAGATGTTGGGTCCTAGGTTTTCGTGACGAGATTTGACGTTGGGGTGGGGGTGTAGGAGGTAAAATTCTTTTAAAATTGTGACGTTGCTAATGACATAGATGACGCTAGTGTAGGTATAAAATAACGTATTTTATGTACATGTTGGTATGGTTTGTTTTATTTTTAAAACATGAGAACTTTCGTCTTAATTTCACTTTTTCGCGTTTTATATTTTTTTAAAATGTAAATTCAACATGCGAACGTCCACCTGGACCCGAGCCACACACGTCAACCAAACTCGATTTTTCGGAGCCGACCCCCGCCCCTTTACCTTCTTCTTATAGACGTCAAAAAATGGAAAACCCTATTGCCCCATTTACTAATTAAAGAAGCGATATTCGACTGTTAAAAGGAATGTTATTGCACATGCCCCCCCCCCCCCTAAAAAATTTATATTATGGTAAATGATCTTATATACTGGTATCTGGTAAATTTTGAGACATTTTCTGTAACCGGAAATAGTATTTTACGCTTTTACCATGATATTTGGATAATTTATGTTATACGTTTTAAAGCAGCATATTCTATTCTAAAACGAGATAAATGACCCGTTAAGCGAGAAATACAACAGACGCTTGGTTGATAGTGTTATCTTTTTCACTAAACCAAAACCAAAATCACCACCTCAACTTCAAATTTAACCAGAAATGAAAAACACATTCATTCGAATTTTTATCCAGAATTGGCTCATGTTTAGTGCACATTCATACAAAATATAGTCGTAGTCATACCCCCAAACCTTGCACCTACGCTCAAAGTCGCATTTCGAGTTTCTTTAAGGCAACTCTTGAGGGAGGGTGGGGGGAAGTCTACCGCCCCCTATAACGACATAGAATTTATATAGAAATACACTTTAACCACTGTCCGCCCTCATCCCCGGAAAATTTAGTCCACTTCTATTTTTTAATACTGTTTACTGTAGAATCAATGAGCTCATATTATGTGTGTACTTTTCAGGCTTTATAATATTTCCTATATTTTCCGTGTGACGTCATGTTTCGTTTTCCGTTTGACTGTGACAGTTTTTATTCTACTTGAATTTTTTTCTATATTGTTCCTGTATGACAGATAAGAGTGACAGAATTGGGTGTTGCAGTAATACTTTGCTATATAACATGCTATTTTTCAAAAAATTATATAAATTAATTGGCAAGCGCTAAAATTATGTTTTAGCTGTCAAAAATTAAAACAAAATATTAAGTATCGATATTTATGTGTTTTGAATTTTTTAATTCAAGATAAACTATTGAAAATAATTTTTGAAATAATTAATAATATTAATTCATTAATCCATTCCAAGTTTTGGAAAAACTTCCGCCAGGGAGAGATTAAATTTTCCAGACTAAATGAATTTTTGTGATCATGATTACCATTGATAAACAAACATGGCGGCTGCTTGTTTCTTGACTTCGCTTCAACATTTTAAACTCATCATGAACTCCCAATATGCAACAAATATACAAAAGTTCAAGTCTATTGTGTACGTACGGTTGGGAAGTAATGTATTTGCATTCAATTCTGACAGAAAAGTTTTGTGGCGGTAAGTAAATTATTTTTTAAAGTTAATGTAAGACCTAGCAAGCCTAGTCCCAGGGGACATCACTCCTACTGAACGATTTGGTAAACGGTGAACACTTATCTAGACCGTCAAGTTCGATGACAGAATATTACAAAAATAGATCTAGATCTAAAATCTAAATCTACCTGATCCTAAATATATAATATCTGAAGGCCTATATCTACTTTATTACTTTATTAACTATACTGATCCCTCTAAATAAAAAGTGACAATACAGTAGTGATTAGATTTAGAATCACTAGATCTAGATTACTAGATTGAATTCTAGATCTAGATTCTAGTGTGTGTTTGTCGAGTAGAGAGCTAGTTGTAAGTTATCTAATCTATCTAGATCTAGTTACTCTAGTCTAGTACTACCTATCCCAGTCTGCCCCGTCTAGTGGCGTCTAAGCTAAGGCAAGGCCTAAAAGGTGTGTAGAGTTGTAAATGTAGACTGTAGAGTTCACTAGTGTAATAGACAGTGACTGTAGCATTGCTAGTGTGAGTTGTAGTAACAATCTACACAGTAATTTAGAAATTTTGTCTAGGACTTAGTGTCAGTAAATATTGTAACATGCACTTATTACTCTAGCCCACAATCTAGATCTAGTATGCAATGTAGCAAAATGTATCTATATCCACTTATTTAGTAGGCCTTGTACCCTGGTTATTAGATCTAGAGTTTAGATTTAGTAATAGAATCTAGGCTTAATGCTCAATATATATTGACCTAAAGTAGTTATAGATTTAATGGCTAGTTTTAGTTTTAATTTTATTTAAAATTTTGATTATGCATAAAAATGTAAACTATAATTATAAGAGAAAATTCTGAGTAGAAATATTGTGTGTACATCTATTTTTCAGATTAGGCCTACCTGAATTAAATCAGTGCATATAGACCTCTAGAAAGAAGCCTACACAATTTCCAGGAAACCTCAACCAAGACTATCAACAAAACATGAAATCAAAATGTGTGTTATAATGAAGATTTCATCTAAGACTGCAATTTATGAAGAACAATATTTGATGCAAGAAAAAAAAAATCCCCTGCAATTACTGGAAAGTAATAAATCAAATACCTTTACCTTTAAATATTAAATAAATGATAAATTTATTTACTAAATATTGAATTTTTCTCATTCATTTTATGTTGAATTTCTTTTTTTAAAATTGTATTTGTAATGTTAGTTTATGAAAATATTGTAAACAATAGTGAGAGTTGTATGGTAGTAAAGCTCCAGTTTCAAACCCGTTGATCCATGGATCTGACAACATAGAGTTCACCTATTTTTGTGACCTTGGCATAGGAAGGGATGATTTGGTCAGCCATATGCCCATCCACATTTACTTTCACTAACGTGAGTTAGGTACCCATCACTGCTGGGTGCACTCAGGGACTTACTACTGACTACTGGGTTAGCAGTCTAATGCCAGTGTGAGTTGCTTAAAACAAAATTTGCAAGTAAAATACTATTTAGTTTCCTAAACAGTTTTAAAAATATTTGAACCCACACAAACACAAAGAACTGATATTAAAACAACACATTCAATAAAAAAATAATTAAGTTTAATAATTTATAAAAGGACATATTTAGGATGTACATGTAATATTGTTTAATATGAACAATGAAACCAGTTGCTCATATCATATTTCTACTCATAATTAAAGTTAAAGCAATATTTGTGAACAGAAATATATATTTACAATGACATATGAAAATGGGATTTATTGGTTGAGCATTACAGCACACAATTGCTAATCCAGAGAAGTGGTTTGAGGGCTTGAGTACATTAAGGGTAACTGGCTTGAGATACTGACTGTTGTGAATGGACCTAAGTGTATGGAATGAGTTTGAGAGTATGTGTGTAGTTGAATGGAGTTAATATAGTTGTGGATGGCTTGAGAGTATGTGTGTAGTTGAATAGAGTTAATATAGTTGTGGATGGTTTGAGAGTATGTGTGTAGCGGTATTAATAAAAGATTATGAATGTGTGAATAAATAAGGATGTGACGTAGGAGAGAATGTTTTCGTTGTTATGAAGATAGTTGAGAGTTAGTCTTGGTCTTGTCGTCGTCTTGTGAGGATGTCTAGAAGTCGTCGTCCCGTCTATCGTTTATGTAGCTGTTGATATTATATGTAATAAAAGATAGAAACATCGTAGCGTCATTCTGTGTTCTTCATTGGATCGTCATCTATTGTTCGTAACGTTCAGCATCGACCTGTACCGAAACTCACTTCGCAACATATGGTGGAAGCAGCGGTTTGCTGAACTTATCTGTCGCACAGTACGTTCCCGTCTACACTTGCCGTAATGTCATCTCATCTGTGGCCAGCAGTATGCCTTCATCTAGATCTAGATTCGCCCGTTATCTACAGCAGTACGTCGTAATTATCAGTATCAACGGTTGTTTAATTTGATCGGGACTCAGTTGTGTACCAGACTCTGACCTTGGACCGTGATTAATGGACTTTTCGACGCGTGATGTGGCCTGCTCGATTCGTTGTCGTTTGCCAGAGACGGACTTCTGGTTGACCGGCGCGATATCCAGCGACTATATCGGGTCTCTCATCGCCCATTGATTCCCGTCAAGGTTAGAACTACGGATGTGGCCGTTTTCATCTTTGGTTCGTGCTGAGCAGTAGTTCAAAGGCCGGCATTTATTTGATGTCCAGAGTTGTTATTATCACGTCATCGCCACTCGTCCCCGACCCTCTACAATGACCGTGCTGTTTTAGTCGTGATGAATCTATCGTTTATGCAGATTTTCTTCATGACTGATGATTAATTTTCGGGTTTCTTCCTACATCGTCAACTGTTCGTTGGAAGAGTTTACGTCATCACCCTCGTCTAACCCACATCGTCGTGATCGGCTGAATTGTTTGGCCTACATGTTTTGATGACGTCCCTGACCTTCATCATGTCAAATTTCTTCGTGGTTGACTTTATCGACAGTGCAGACGAGAATTTTCTTCGTTTGTTCAACCCAGTATTGGTCGAGATGAATCCCCGAACTACAGAAACGATATTATCTAGATCTACATGGATTCTCGAGGTACAAGTCGACGTCAGTCTGCGTTACCAATCCAGTGTGTGTGACTGTCTTGGACTATACCGGCATGTGTACTGGATCTACAGGTTCATCGCCTGAATCTGATGTGGCCTATGGAGTGTGGGATCTGGAGTTGTCATGAAGACCTGACGTCTGGGATTGTTTTAAGTTGAGTACACCTCTTCCATTTTTTTAGATACTAAGATCCAATACAATTTTTTTGTTCATTTTAGTAATATTTATTTAGGCCCTACTGGATATATTTTTTTTCCCAACATCATTGATTTAGATCTAGAATCCAGTTACTGGTTCACTAATGATTAGTTCCAACAATACCTGTTAATTAATATTGGTAGATCTATTTGGTTGTACTCTCTCCAGTTACCATCATGGAGATAGAGTATGTTATTGTATTATTATGTATATACATAATTTTATGCTGTTAAAGTTAAATGTATAATTAACTTTTCTTATGTTAATTACAATTAACCATTCTCATTTAGGGAAGCGCCTTAGAGAGGGCGTTATTGAAATATATAGCGTTAGGTTCCCTTTTTGTGGATGGTCTTAATATGTATTAACTATATGGAATTTGTTACTTTGTTAGTGTTAGGTTTAGGGACTCTTTGGTGTATTAGATAAGATATCAATTGAGGATATATTTTCTGATTTGGTTGTTGGACCAAGTATTTTTCCTGTTTCCCGTGTAGAGTAGTTGATTTTATTGTCGTGGTCACCCATTCATGCTGGATGCTGTCTGGTTGATACGTAACTTAGTTATATGATGGATAGTGATTATGGTTATTTGGATCTCGATGGTTTGCCGAGATATTTTGTTTGTCCCGGGGTCATGGAAAATTGTCCTCCATTAGATATTATATTTCTATACTAGAGATATAGCAATATCGTGGTATTTTAGGTACAATGTGCTAAATTATTATATCCTAAGAGGTTTGATTTTCTTGGTTGGATAATGAACCTATTAGCTTAGTGTTGTTGTTTTTTTTTTGGAGATAATTGATCTTCGCTAGATAATGATTTTGTTTTGCGAGACTGAGGATGCAGTCCGCGTTATTTTTTGGTATCTCGAGGTTGTGCCGAGTACCTGGTTGTTGTGTTTGGGGGTTCACGGGAAATACTCCTCTATGTGATATTGTATTGGCTTATTGGAAGTGTTGATGGTTCTAATTTATTTCATTGGTGTACTCCATTGTATGGATTGACTATAATATCTTTAGGTGGTAATTGGTTTAAATATGGAGTGCTGGTATTTGCTTGAACCGTTGATTTCCTGATTGTTGGATAGTAGTTTTTTTATGCTTAAGGATCAATTGAGTTATATAATATATGGCCAAATCGTATTGATTGTAAATATTAGTTGTGATTTAATTTTCACATTTTTAGAAGCTATGTGACTTTGCTATTTGGTAGTAATATTATATTTTAATTACAGGAAGAGGTGCTCAACAATTTTAATTGTAAATTAGAAGCTATTGTATAGTTTGGGTACATGCTGGTCCTGGATTATTTTTTTTATAGCTTGTGTTGATGTCCAGAGACAAGAAACCAAAAGATGTGTGTGGACAAGGTGTTGGTTGGGACCAAAAGATTTGTGTGTTCAGGTTGACTGACGACGGTGATGAAGAGCCATGGACCACAGAACATTGTCTTTGTTGCATAGTGCATGTATAATATTGTATGGATGCATGTCTTAGGAAGTTGAAGCTGAAAATAGTTGATAGTTCTGGTATGTATTTTCAGCTGAAGAAAGGAGAGGGGTATGTTGTGAATGGACCTAAGTGTATGGAATGAGTTTGAGAGTATGTGTGTAGTTGAATGGAGTTAATATAGTTGTGGATGGCTTGAGAGTATGTGTGTAGTTGAATAGAGTTAATATAGTTGTGGATGGTTTGAGAGTATGTGTGTAGCGGTATTAATAAAAGATTATGAATGCGTGAATAAATAAGGATGTGACGTAAGAGAGAATGTTTTCGTTGTTATGAAGATAGTTGAGAGTTAGTCTTGGTCTTGTCGTCGTCTTGTGAGGATGTCTAGAAGTCGTCGTCCCGTCTATCGTTTATGTAGCTGTTGATATTATATGTAATAAAAGATAGAAACATCGTAGCGTCATTCTGTGTTCTTCATTGGATCGTCATCTATTGTTCGTAACATTCAGCATCGACCTGTACCGAAACTCACTTCGCAACACTGACTTTAAGTGTAAACCACACAACTGTTTTATTAGCCTAAGTCAAAAAAACAAGACATTATTTTTTATTATTACAAGTGGAACATGCTTCATCTGTGGAATAATATTTTCATTAACAGTAAAAATAAATATTAAATAGTGTACACAGACACGAAAAATACATGCTTACTGTAAAGCAAAAGAAATTATTCTAAAACAATGTAATATACATTAGTAGTCATTAGGCCTATTTAGTCATATCTGTTTATTCTGAGTGATATAGTCAGAAAACTGTAATTATAGCATATTTAATTTCTACTAAGTATGCCTTGTAGTGTACAACAGTATGAATATCTAGAATCTAGCTATATAGATTAATTAAAGTTGCTGATTTTTTTTTTTTAAATCTTGGAATTAAATTTTCAATGTTAAATTAAAAGCTCAATGACAGTAACACAAAGCCAAACAAAGCTTATTACAATAAAACTAATTAGACCCTAATAATAGTAATTATTAGATTAATCCAATTTTAGGCCCACTTTGGGCTTAAATTAAATTTGGAATTTCTAGAGCTACTACTAGATATAGAATTTTATCTAGTAATACTGGTACACTATAACTTGTCTATACTAAGCAGACGACTAATTAGTAATTACGGTTATTAGGTCTAGCCTACTGTCACTGTGTAATATCTAGTTTATCTACTTCTAGATCTAGTACTAAAAGAAAAAGTACTAGGAAAAGGAATTATTTTTAAAAATATGGCATTGATTTAAAATAGGGGCCTATTTATTAAAATGAATAAAGGCAAAGTCTTTATTACTAAATAGGCCTAATTTAAATTAGGGGCCTATAGGCCTAATTAACTATAATAATATGATTAATACATAGGGTCAAATTACTAATTTAATCAGGCCTAAACTTTCTAAGCAAAATAAAGTCTAAAGAAAAATTTATGGGCCTAAATTCAAAAGTTAAGTCTAAAGGCCAAAGGTTTCTATTTTACAAAATGATCGTAAATCTAACTAATTATTCTATTATTACTAAATCTAGCTTAAATACTACTAGCTATTAAGTACTAAACTAATATAAATTAAATACTAACACCTAATAATAATATTAATAAAAGTATTCATATAGTTCGCTATAAAAGAAAATACTCTATAGTCTATATATATTATTTAATTATAGATCTAGGTCTAACTAAAATAAGGCAGAGATCTAGATCTAAATAAAATACTTAGGCCCTAGATCTAGCAAATAAATAATAATACTATTTGACGATTTGGTAGGCCTATATCAGACTATGACTATAACTAGATCTAGATTCTAGATCTATATCTTATTAATATCTATCTACAGTTTATAACTTAGACTTAGTGTGTTAGTCACTGTTAGTGTATAGTATACTGTACTTAGTGTACTATTAATAATTAATATTAATTAGTACTAGATCTAAGTACTAAGTAAGTTAGTAGTACACTACACTAGAGTAGAATCTAATTACTAATTATTAAAGTTCTTTAATTCTTTAGACTTGGTCACTTGACTTTACGACGTCTTCTTTAGTAAAGAATCTTTAGTTCTTTACTCTTCTTTAAAAAAATCTTTAGAGTTTAGAACTTTAGACTGACTACGGTCCCTACCACTAAATATTGTACTAAATAAATAATAAATGACTAAAACTAAATCTAACGAGTCGGTTGTATTCTAAATAAAATTCTAGTCTAGATCTAGATCTAGAATTTAGATTCTTTATTAAAATCTGAAAAGTTGAAAAGTCAATTCTTTATCTAGAAAGATCTAGAATCTAGATTAGATTCTAGATCTAGATCTATCTCGAATTCTAGATCTAAATTCATAAAATTCTGATTCTAAAACTTGTATTTGTTTTGAAGCCAAAAGCGAAAGTAGCTTTCCTAACTTTAAAAAAAAAGATTTAATAAAAATATCCAGATTTGGTTTAAAAAAACGCCAACTGGCAGGACTCCATTTGGACTCCACTTCAACAGCCTATAGCCAAATTAATTTTATACTTTTCGCCTCTATGTTTTCTTAATGTTCGTGTTTATGCTTCTGAATAAGTTTGCGTTTATGTTTGTGTTTGCATTTATCTTTATTTTTGTGTTTATGTTTTCGTTTATTGTTATTTGTTATGCAAACGCATTCATGTTTGCGTTTATGATTGCGTGTTTTTTTTCCCCACAAAGTGCCATCTCAAACTTAACTGCTGTGTAAGAATGTACAATGAAGTTTAGTAGGGCTCACTCCCGCTTTACTGAATTTACTAGACTGTAGGCCGACTGATTTGTAAGGAATTTATTTACATAAGTCGACTCAAAAAGGTACAACCAAATAGGTTGTTTTTGTAACGACACTAGTTGCATAAGATATAGTGTAAATCGTTCAATTAAATTAAAAATTTCAGGAGAAGAAATATTTCTGCGTGTTAAAATCATTTTGTGTTACACTCTGCCTAGAAGAGATTCTTCACCAAAATTATATTAGAATACATCACGTCAGATTCGCTATTTACATATCAAATTAGTACACATTTTCAATAGGCACATGTTTGTTAGCTCGTAAATATAAACAATACTATTAATTAGAATATTAATATAAACAAAATAAAAATGTATTAATTTTGGTTTGACAGTTCTCATACATTTTCTGTCTGGTTTGAATGCACGCACACACACACATAAACACGTACATACATGTATTTATTTTGTATCCATATATTTTACTTATAACCATATATGCATACATACATATCTTGCCATTCATGCTCCTAATATTAACAGTTATTACAATTACAATGGCAATTCACTAATCACGTGATATTATACATTTCAATGACCATCCGCAACCCCGTAATGAATTGAACATAATGTGGAGCAATGCCCAGTATATAATAAATGACATAATCCTCAAGTGTCATGGTCTGGTTTTCTTTAGTACTCATCAGGTTCAACGTCGCAAACAAGAAGATGGCTGGAAGACAAGGAGTCATTTAATTGTTATGATTGTATTTAGTGGTATTTTGGTGTGCTTCATGGTATTTTGGTGATGTTATAGTGGTATTTTGGCGGTATGGTGATGGTATTTTATACCATATAACTTTACAAATTATTGTCCACTTCTCAATTACATTACACATTTTTTCTAGGAACTTTCATCGATCCCAAATTTAATCTAAAAGAAGATATAAAAAGTGCATAAAAAGCGTTTTAATTACAATTTTTTTTAATAATGCGTTAAATGAACTACTATTTAAATTACTAAAAAATGCATAAAAACCGTATTAATAACGAACTTTTATGTAATAATGCACTATAAAGGGGGAAACATGATTTTAAAACAAAATATATAATAAAGAGCTACTCTTTACATAACTAAAATGAAAAGCGTTTGGTCGCTATATTAAGTAGTGATTATCTGTACTAGAATTCAAGAAGTTTGTAAAAATGTGCTTCTGTAAATTTCTTAAGAGTTAGTAAAAGAAGGGTTAATGTGGGTAGTCCACGAACGTTTTTTTATAAAGATGGTCGCCGTGACAATGGCAATCATAAGTTCTAAAGAGTTTCTTATGCAGGCAAATATTTTCGCTTATGTACCCTATCTAAAATAAAAAGGCTAATCAATAAGGAAGTGTTTTTTTTCCGATGCTTAGACCCTTCAAAGATCCAGTCGAGTGTGAAAGTCTTGAAGGAATTTAAACAGAGAGAATTGTCAAGTCTAGACAAAAATTTATAGTAAGGAGATATGAAAAAAAAACTGCCCAAAAAGTTAAGAAAATATTTTAAAATATCACACAGATAAATCTTACATGTAAATATACAGACACCTGGAGCGATCACTGTGGTTACTTTGCTTACGATACATCTGTTGGTGAATATGTGCAGGCAGATAACTCCATAGGCGATGTTGTGGCTTAGAAAAATGAATATCGTGCCATCGATGCTTTCGTCACTTGAAGCTAATAAGAACAAAACGACAGGTAAGAGAAGGCATGCAGTGAAAACATAAGGTATTGTAATAATGAGGATACAGTAGGGCCATATAGATTTGAGGTTAAAAAGGGAATAAAATTGACGTACTTACGTAATTGTTTGTATTGTTTATAGAAATTACTCTCAACTACCAAGTAGTACCAGCTGTACGAAAGTGATAAATAATTTATTATTAGTGGCTACAAATAAATAGAAACCTAATTGATGAACGTTAAACAAATTAAAGTTTTTGTTTCGAAGATAAAAAAAAAATTCATAAAGTGAATTTTTAACTCTGAATATACAGTTATTGTGTGGTGAGCACTATGTCCATACGACTTTATTTTCCCTATCATTTTCCCATAAGAGCTGCGTACACTCAGGGACTTTCTTAAGATTAGAGTCTACGAACTCGAGATAGTTGCGTTAAATGTGGCGAGCTCTACCACGCAACCGCGGGTCATACAAATGATAAGGAAATCATAAAATACTATCACTCACGCGGTATGGTATCTTTACCTTTAAAAGTTATAGTTACTGTGGATTAGTATTGTTTTAAGAATGAAATTAAAAGTTGTTAATAAACAATCATTTTCTCCAAAAAGTTATAAAAACTACGGCAACTTACTTTATAATTACAGATGCAACAAAAAAGACGAAGCTGAGTTTGGCAATCTTTGTAGGGTTTTTATTATCAGATTCAACAGACTCAGTGATGGTAACTACTTCTTCGTGTGGTGATTTTAAATCAGTTGTGGGCGTCATGTTTGTAGCAAGGACATGTGACGTCAATTTTAGGTCTGGGTGCTGCTCCTGGTTCTAGAGCAATGGAGACTACTTTAGACAATAAACCGGGAGTGATCTCCCCTAAACAATCTCGAATATTCTTATATAACAATACGTGGGATGGCAACTCGGAATATAGACATGATTTTTGTTTACTTAAACTTTTAAAAATAAAATAGAATCTCGTAGAAAAAAGAATTGCGCACCAAGCAAACGTCTAATAAAATGTGCATAATAGTGCGGGATTATGTGCATAATAATGTGCAATATTATTAGTACTTTATAAGTTTTCATGCGTTTTTTGAGAAATCGGAAATAGCGTAAATAAGTACTTCCCGTCAACGGAAATTACTCAAAATTTGACGGAACAAAGAAAATTAGATCTTTTACTTACATGTGAACTTTCATTTATCTATCTGAAACAGTATTCAAGTTATAGGCTTTTGAAAAATTCTAAGTAGAAAAAGTACCACTTCCGGTTATCGGAAATCGCTCAAAAGTTGATACGGATCTACGATTTTGATAAAATACTTATATATGAAATTTTATCAACCTAGCTGTAACGGTACTCAAGTTATCGTGTTTACACACGGACAGACAGACAGACAGACAGACACACACAGAGACATACGGACAAGATTGCAAAATTATGTTTTTCCGTATCAGTGAGGTGTAAAACGTCGAGATTTGTGAAAATCTCGATTTTTTTTTGCTCGACTACAAGACTTTCTGTATACTTCGTATATACGAGAAAGGGTTAAAAAAAATCCCTCGCTACTTAAAACTACTGGTTTATCGCAATCAAAGATTAGAAAACGTTTGTCAAATACAAAACTGCTTATATTTGTGAACTAGTAGAATTTTTTTAAAATCAGGTCAGTCCAATAATAGTCCAATTTATATGAGTCAACTAATGCGCTATTTATATCTATCAAATTTGACTAGCTATAAATTTAGTAAACTAGCTATATAGGTCAAATAGTAGACTATTAGTATCAGTCAACTAGAAGAATACTTACATCAGTCAACTAGTAATTAATTAGTAGACTAATTTGCTCACTATTCGTTAACAAATATACTTACTTCAGTCATTTCTTGGCAACACTATTTAACACACATATATTTCTGCCGAGTTAAAATAAAATTCCGTTTCGAACAAACTCTCTGATTCACTCTACTTCGTTTTATTATGCATTCACATCCCAAATCCAACACGGCATACATTCCACACTGTAGAAAACTTATATACGACTGGTAATCCTAGGCCACTGAGACACAAATAACACAGTTAAAAATAGTAACACGTAAACAAAACCCCTCCCTTCCTGATCTAGGTCACCTTGACTGTAGCTGTTGAAAACTTGCCGTTTGCCCCAAGGCCGTCCGTCCGATTGGATAAAATTCACCGAATACGACAAACGCTTTAATGTAGTGAAAATGCCCCAATGTACACTTGCCGGAATGGGACAAATGCCTGAACTGCCTGAATGCAAGGACGCTTGGACAACTTTTAAGGCAAAGGTTGGGGGCGTGGTTTGCGGGGAATGGAGGTTAGATGAAAGATACCTGTTCGTTTAAACTTCTATATTTCTATATCCCGATTTATCTCGAGGGGTCACCCAAACCTTTTCTGCTAAATACGAATAAGCAAGAAAGTTTAGGAAGACTCACTCATGCTTATCGATCTTACCAGACTGTAGGCCGACTGTACTTAATGAATGTATTTACATTTGTACTGAACACATATTGCAGAAGGATATTGTTAAGTTTTCAAATTGCATTCGTTCGTTCATTCGTTCATTTATTTATTTATCTATATACAATGACAGGAAAACTGAATTAAGAACAAAAGTTCTCAGGACAAAATATCCCAGACAAAATATGTAAATGACAAAATGATTCAGGACATAAAATATGTATAATGTATGCAGAATACTTTACTCAATATTGGTCAACCATATTCCAATAGTTGACTGCTTATATCAGTCAATTCGTTGAATACGTATATTAGACCGCTAGTAGCAGTGGCGTAGCGAGGTCGGGTGTCACCCGGTGCGGCACTATATGGTGTCACCCCCCAGAGGCGTAGCGACACTTCCCGGGGACAAACTTTCAAATTTCCGATTTGCACTCCCCCCCCCCCCTCAAACTTTCGATTTGCCCCCCCCCCCCCTCAAGTTTTTCTCTATATATTTTGCTATTTTTTTTGCCTTGGTGTCACCCCCCCCCCCTAAATAGTGTCACCCGGTGCGGTCCGCACATCGCCCCCCCCCCCTCGCTACGCCTCTGGCTAGTAGAATTCTTCACTCAATATCCGTTAATAAATATAGGACCTGCTTATATTAGTCACTTCGCGATTACATGAGTGTGTAAACTAGTAGTTCAGGGCACACATGTTTCTGCAGTTTTAACAGAAAAATCTGGTTAGAATAAATTCTCCGATTTAATATACTGCGTCTTGATATGTAAACAAATCAATTACCCCACACTATACACATCCCACACTACACACATCTCTTAATACACAACCCCACACCACACAAATCCCACACTACACAAATCCCACACTACACAAATCTCTCATTACACAATTTCAATATACACACATCTCTCACTACACAAATCCCACACTTCATAAATCCCGTATAAAATCTGTATAACTGGGACAATAACAACACGGCTATTAATCCAACTAAAACTAAAACAAAACCCACAACAGTCGTTTTTTATTTTGCAAAATTAAGTAGGCCTACAAGCATCAAATAACAGAAGGTGAAATAACAAATCGTTCTAAACGCCGCATGACACTAAGAAACACACAGCAAGCCAAAACCACACATAACACGAACCCAATACCCCACACTGAAGTCGCCCCCCCACATTACCTGCCACACCACATCACACAGCCAACACAATATCCTAAACCTTTACAAATAAACCATACGACATAATATCCTAATCTCATACAACCATACACATCACCCGACTACACCCAACTTCCACATTTGACTCCATATAATAGACAAAAATCTCCACCCGCGCAAAAAAAGAAACAAAAAACAACACATTACACAAATGAAATTGCGCTAAGTAATGTGGAGTTTAGTAGAGTGCAATAATTAGTAGGGGCTACAGTAGAATAATAGTAAAATGCAATATCCGTCTGACCATTGAATAAAAAAAAAAGAAGCGCAACGGAAAAAAGCGCACACGGAAAAAAGCGCAAAGAGAAAAAAAGCGCAAAGAGAAAAAAGCGCAAACGGAAAAAAGCGCACACAGAATGCAAGCTAGGTAGTTCGGACTAGGGAGAATGTGAGAGATACTTCGTGTAATGTCGATAGTTTTATGTTTATTTATACGAGAATAATAGTTGAATAGCTATTGACCAAGAAAATAATAGGCATTGTGTAAAGCGATTATCGCCTGTATCGTGGTGATGGGAATGCACATGGTAGTTGTACGCTTTAAATGGTAGTAGATCACGTGATCAAACACGACACTCTCACAGCAGCCCTAACAGTCATGTATAAATGTGTCATCTAGTCGATATAGGTTTTTGAGCTAAATTTTTCTTTTACACATTTTTCGTTGTGTTTTTTTCTGGTTGCGCATTTTTCTGTTTGCGCTTTTTACTGTTTGCGCTTTTTTCCGTTCGCGCTTTTTTCTGTATGCGCTTTTTTCTGTTTACACTTTTTTCTGTGTGCGCTTTTTCTCTGTTTGCGCTTTTTTCCGTTTGCGCTTTTTTCTGTGTGCGCTTGTTTTTGTTTCCTCTTTTTTCTGTTTGCGCTTTTTCTGTTTGTGCTTTTTTTCTGTGTGCGCTTTTTTCTCTTTGCGCTTTTTTCCGTGTGCGCTTTTTTCCGTTGCGCTTTTTGTTTTGCGCTTTTTTCCGTTGCCCTTCTTTCTGGTCACCGAATCAAACAAAACACTGATCGGTTGTGCAGGATAGCCAACTAACGGACCCCAAAATACAAAGATACACTAAGTTTCACCAAATTAGAGCACATTATGTTGGATACACTAGATACAATACAAATTACTACACATTTTCTATATACATATCTTTGTAAGTATGTATGAAAAAAAACAATACGATAAATTATTAAAATAGAAATAAAGACAAACATAATTTGATAATTTTTGTTGTCATTAGTTTTTTTTTATCGGGCTGATATGTGTATATATATATATGTATATATATATATATATATATATATATATATATATATATATATATATATATATATATATATATATATATATATATATATATATATATATACAAACATAGAGTACGAACATAGCATACTCATTTCTGACCTGATCCGGTTTCGGGTTTTGAAAAAAAAAAGTTTGTTTTTTAATTAAAACAAGGTACAACAACATGTCATACGTGCGAGTGCAACGGGTCTACGAAAAATTCCCGAAAGACACTTGCCCGAATGCCGTTTGCCCGAAGGCCGATTTCCCAAATGAACACTTGCCCGAATGCGACAAATGCCCGAATGGACACTTGCCCGAATGCGACAAATGCCCGAATGGACACTTGCCCGAATTTGTTTAGTACAAATATATTAAAATAATCTTAAGAGCACCCCTTTTTAACTCTTTAAATAAACCGGGAGTGATCTCCCCTAAACTTTCTCGAATATTCTTATATAAAATAACAGGGATGGGAACTCGGGCTATAGACATGATTTTTAATCCATTTTAAATACTTAAAGTTTTAAAAATAGAATAAAATCTCGTAGACAAAAGAATTGCACATCAAGTGAACGCCAAATAAAAAATTGCATTATAGTGCGCAATATTATTAGTACTTTAAAAATTTACATTAGTTTTTTGAGAAATCGGAAGTAGCGTAAATTACTACTTCCGGTCAACGGAAATTACTCAAAATTTAACAGAATGTAGAGAATTAGATCTTTTACTTACATGTGAAATTTCCTTTATCTATCTGAAATAGTACTCAAGTTATAGGCTTTTGAAAAATTCTAAGTAGAAAAAGTACCACTTCCGGTTGTCGGAAATCGCTCAAAAGTTGATACGGATCTACGATTTTGATAAAATACTTATATATGAAATTTTATCAACCTAGCTGTAACGGTTCTCAAGTTATCGTGTCTACACACGCACACACACACAGACAGTCACACAGACATACGGACAAGATTGCAAAATTATGTTTTTCCGTATCAGTGAGATGAAAAACGTCGAGATTTGTAAAAATCTCGATTTTTTTTTTGCACGATTACAAGACTTTCTCTATTCTTCGTATATACGAGAAAGTAAAAATGCAAGAAAATTAATATTTTTAACTATAAAAAATAATTTGATTTTAGTCGGCTGTAGGCCCCTAAATGGCGTGTCCCCCCCCTTCCCCGCAATGCGAGGTCTGGCGGAACTGTAGGTCCGCCCCTGGTTTCACGTGATATCTATCATCTCAGCAATTATCATCAACCCGGCCATGAACTGAAGATAATGTGCAGCGACCCCCAGTCCGTAGGCAATATCAGAAGTCATTAGTCCCTGGGTCCGTTCTGTTTCTGTACTCAGAAAGTTGACCACTACCACCCAGTATGTGGCTAACATAGTAGTAAAGTTTTAGAGGTATTTTAGTGGTATTTTACTGATATTTAAGTGGTATTTTAGTTTTGTGTGTGGTATTTTTGCGGTATTTTTGTTGTATTTTTGTGGTATTTTTGTGATATTTTTGTGGTATTTTTGTGGTATTTTTGTTGCATTAAAGTGGCATTTCAGTTTTTTATGTGCTGTTTTAGTGATATTTTAGTGGTATTTTGGTGTTATTTTCTGGTATTTCAGTAGTATTTATGTGGTGTTTTAGTTGTATTTTATCTCGTATACAAATAATGTTAACACAGATGTCTTATTGTAAAAAACACACAAAAAGAAAATCTTACATGTAATTATACAGACACATGCAGCGATCGCAGGGGTGAGTTTGCTCCCTTTAAGCCAGCGGTTGAAGATGTTAAGCGATATCGCCACAAAAGCAATAATGTTGCCCAGAAGAGGGATTAAGACTAGACATCGCCAATGAAAAATATTAATTATTATGTTCCATTAAGAGTATTAACTATAAACACAATTGGTAATGCGTCACGAATATCAGTTATGGTTGCTATGATAACCACAAAAAAGTAGTGAAAATTCACAACTTTTTAAACTGTTATATAAAAGCAATGTTGTTGCTCAGTATAGGGATTAAGACTAGACACCAAAATATTTAACAAGTTTCATGCTGTTTAAGAAATACATATGTTAAT